AGATGAGCCTTCTTCAGCGCATCTTCAGCCGGCTCCGCTTCGGCGGCCCGGGATGTTGAGTCAAGAGATTCAACCTTGTCCTGAAGTTGGGTGATGAGGGTCTTCAGTCCTTCGATATCAGAGCCAAGGTTTGGCTGATCAGCAAGCATAAGCTCGCCACCGCGAGCGGTGCTGGCATCGTCGGTTTCTTTCTGAGATTGGCGAATGGAGTCGATGTCAAGCTTGAGGTCAGCAAGGCCGTCCTTGATGGTATCGAGGACTTCAGCGGTGTCGAACTCGGCGGGCTTCTCCAGGAGTTTCTTGAGGTCGTCTTTTATGGTGTCGATGCCGTCATTGAATGCATCAAGCAGCTCACCGGTGGCAGACATCATGCTCTCGCCTCCATCCTTCCGGTTAAGAGTCTCTTCGCGGATACTCTCGAGGTGCTCACGGACGGCGGCAATGATCTCCTCCTTATCGGAGCTAGGCTCTGCTCGGACAAGGCTCGAATCCATACGCTCGCGTATGTTTTCGAATTCCTCGCGAATACTGGTGGTGACCTGATCGTTCCCAGCGTTTGCCTTGTGTTGATCTGAGAGTTCTCGGATGGCGTCCAGTATTTCATCCTTGTCACCTGCAGTGGTATCCCGAACAACCATGTTCACAATAGTGCCACGGAGGTGTTCGAATTCCTTCTCCATGGCGTCCAACAGCTCCGGAGTATCAGGATTACCGCGAGACTCAGTAGACATGGAGGCCTCGGTGATTGTCTTCTCCATGTCGGCTTGGAGGAGTCGGAAACCCTCCTTAACGGTGTCGATGATCTCGAGTTTGCCGGCCTCATCATGAGCGGCTCCGACATGAGCTTCGATCTCCTTTCGGACCACATCAAGACCATCCTTGATGGCATCTAGGACTTGCTCGGTGTCCCTACCATTGGCAGCGGAATATTGCTTGAATTCCTCCTTCATACCATCAACGACATCCTGCAGGCGGTCCATTACCTGTTCGCCGGCATTGGCGTTTGCGGAGCTATTCACTTCATGGAGTCCTGCAGTAATTGCCTCCATCAGATCATCTTTGTTAAGTTCGATCTCGCGAGTCATGGTATTGGCGTTCTCCATGCCCTCCACAACTGCTTGGAAGACATCTTCACGGGTTATTTGAGGACCGACACTGGCGCTAAGGGCGGATTTATCTGCTTCACTCGAGTTGTGCAGGCCTTCAGATATCGCTTCAAGAATCTCTTCTCGGGAAAGCGAAGACTGGATATTCGCGAGCGCCGAGTCTTGTTCTTTGCTGGAATTGTGGAGGCCATCAGCGATTGCCTCCAATATTTCTTCACGCGAGACAGATGGTTGGATATTGGCAACTGCTGTGTCTTGATCTTTGCGCGAAAGCTCAATTCCGTCCGCAACGGCGCTGATTATGTCTTCACGGGAGATGCTGGGTTGAACGGCAGTGCTAAGAGCCGCCTGCTGGGAATCGAAGGCGTCATTCACAGCATTAATCACATCTCCCCTAGAGATGCGAGGTTCTTCCATATCCTTGGCCGATGTGAAATGGGCCTCCAGGCCATCGGAGACTGCGCTGACTATCTCATCCCGGCCGAGGCCAGAATCAAAAGACTCCTTGCTGATCATGCTTTGAGTGGCCATGGATCCAGTCACTGCATTCAGGATCTCATCACGGAGAGAGTCGAGGTGTTCGATATGCTCATCATTGAGACCTCGAGAAGCTGGCTTTTCGGCAGCATGATGCGAAAGGGCATGGAGAATCTCGTCACGAATGTTGTTAAGGTGATCCATATGTTCCTCGTCGAGACCTCGGGAAGCTGGCTTCTCGATAGCTTGCATAGCCACGGCACCAAGGATCTCATCTTTAATGGAATGGAAAAGATTGACATGTTCCTCATCCAAGCCCCGTGAGTCTGGTCTCTCGGCAGCGTGCATCGCAACGGCGTGGAGAATTTCGTCTTTGATGGCATGAAATTGGTTGAAGTGTTCCTCGTCAAAGCCACGAGAAGCAGGCTTCTCTGCGACATGCATAGCGACGGCGCCCAGAATCTCGTCTTTCATAGAATTCAGGTGATTGGCATGATCTTCATCCAAGCCTCGTGAGGTGGGCTCCGGCTTCTCAAGACATTCGCGAATGGTCAAAATGATTTCATCGCGAGTGATAGAGGGAGGGTGCTCGATAGGCGGAGGGCTGAAGTTCTGCATGCCGGTGTTGACTGCGTCAAGAACTTGATCGTAGGTAATGGATTGCTCGTGCTGCGGGCGGTAGTCCCTAAGGCCCTCGGACAAACAATCCAAGATCTCATCTCGTTCCAGCCCGAAGTTCTGGAGCTCGATTTCGGGTTTATATGTCTCCCAAGCCTCGCGAACGGTTTCAAGAATATCCTCTTTCTCCATTACAGGTCCATAAGGCTCCGCCGCCTGGGGCTGGGGGAGCTCCAGCTCATCAAGAGCTTTCTTGACCACGGAGTAAATAGAAGCGAGACTCATGGTTGATTGGAAATCGGACAATGCGGAAGAGTTCTGACGGCTCTCTTCGATCGTAGCAGCCAGCTGCTCCTGGAGGGTTTGCAGACTCTCGTGAACGATGTCAGAAATTTGTTCCGCGCTTGGGGGCTGAGGCTTCTCTTGATCGTCAATAGCTCGGCTCGATTCGATGATCTCAAGCTTCCTGGCCAAGTCACGTCCCATTCCGAGTACCTCGCCACGCAATTCACGCACAAGGCTCTTAACGCCATTCGTCATACCACCTCCTTCAATGACGCTGTTCTTGACGCTTCTCAGAATAGCCATCATGTCCTCTTCGCCCGATGACGATCGATTCACGTCGCTCTTGGCGAAATTCAGAGCTTGGGCGGTAGCGCTGGGGTCCATAGAGCCCGCAGACAGAGACCGCGTACCTTGGATGTTCGCTTCGCTCGGAGAAGTGCTGTTGATGGCCTGCATCGAACGCACAAGAGCTCTGCTAGAAGGGTCCTCTTTGACAATATTAAGGATTTCCTCGAGCATATTGGTGACCTTCTTATCGGCATCCTTGTCGGAGACAGATGAAGCTGGGCGTGTCTTAATTTCATCCACAAGTTCCAAAAGTCTCTCCTCGCCCTCCTTTGTGGCCATCTCGCGAAGAACCTTTTCGAGCAAAGCAATGCTGGCAGAGCCATCGGAGCAAATTGGTCCCGGGAACCGCAGAATTCTCGATCGTAGCTGCTGAAAGGATTTGGGCTCGGCATGCGCGGCACGGAGTAGCTTCTTTTGGAGTTGGGACTATCCGGTTCACTCGGGTTAATGCCTTCACGGGGCTTCAAGAAAGCTTTGAGATCAGACCTTAGGCCATCATTATCTAGCAACTTGGATGTAAGATTCGAAGTCAGCTGCTTCAAGCTGACCCTAATATCTTCGTCTCGGGCATTCGTTGCCGCTTTCAAGCTAACAAGATCGGTGGCATTGTCCTTGCTTCGTCGGCTAAGATTGGACATCTCACGCTGTAAGCTGCTGGCGATCTCGGTCAGGCTCAGGATTTGCGATTCGAGTGAGCCCATCGTGGGAGTGGCGCGGTCCGCTTGAGGTGGCTCGGCGGATGCAGTGATCATTTTGGGAGCTTTTGAGGGGGGATGGGGGGTCGTTTTCTGGTAGCTGCATATTTTGAAGTGCTAACATTGTGGCGGAAGGAGGTGTGTTCTCGCCCAATATAGGCTTCGACAAGTATCGGTTTGAGATATAACTGGGAAGCTCCCGTTCAACAGGACGGCTTGGAGGCGAGCCAGCGGACTTGTTTGTATCCTGCAGCTTGCTGGCGGGGTCGACAATCGTGGCTCGTAGAGGACGCTCTGGTGATCGGTTTTCGAGGTAGTTCAAAAAATCTGAGCGAGCGTCACCCTTGGTGTCTGCAGGTGGTAGAGACTGCATGCGCTTATGATAATGGCCCTTGACCAGCTGTCGCTCAGGCGAACCGGACTTGGGCATTGAGTTTGTTGTATAGGAGCTCAGAGCGTTCTCGCTCGGCTTATCTGTGAATTTGGCTGCGATAGCCTGAACATTGGGCGACACATTGGATTTTGTCACAGGGCTCATTGAACGAGGATTTAAAGGTAGTGGTGGAGGAGCGCGCTCAGGATCCGAACTGTCCCACCTACGCGAGCGACGCTTTAGCATCTTCTTCCAGTCGTTCATGGTGGGTTTTTGCTTGGCATAAGAATGAGATGAATCACGTACATTGGAACAGAGAGGCGAGCAGAGTCGGTATGAGAGCCCTGATGCCGGACGAGTTCCCGATCGCGGGAAGGAACGTCCCGATCTTGGGACGGCATGGTGTGTTATTGTCGTGGAGAAGAAGTTGAGATGTCTCAGTAAGGTATTGACAGGAAGGAAATGGGAATGTAGTTCGGGGAATGCGAATGGGATCAAAACAAGGTCGTCAAAGGCATAACAAGCTCAGAGTAGAGCAGAGCAGAGCAGAATTCGCTGGAAAACACAAAAGTGCAAAAGACGGTGTAAAAGTCTCGATCAACCGGAAGATCAACTTGATAAGAAGTAAACAGGTGGAGAGTGGAGGGACGAACAAGGTCGAGGACCACTACGCGGCCTACACATCAGATGTGGGCCCTAGCAACGGGCAACTGCGACTGTCGCCATGTAAACATTGAAGGCGGTGGGGAGCGGCATTGCCAGTGGCAGTGGCAGTGACGTTGGGCATCAGTCCAGGCCCGGCAACGAGGCGGTAAGGCACCAAGGCATTAAGGCATGAAGGCATTAAGGCATGAAGGCATTAAGGCATGAAGGCTTGACACCGGGGCATGGTTCTCCCGAATCCACCCAAATGGGGTAACCACCCTTTTCAAGCTAGCGCCCTCCAGTCGGTAAGACAACCAATCACGCAGAGGCACACAAATCGGCTTTGCCCTGAACCCTCTGCCCGCCCAGGCGAAAAAACGAACACTTCGATCTTGACTGACCGTTCCGTACTCGACAACCCACCCGTTAACCTCGCCAACCGGGACATTCACAATGAAGTGTGAGTATTCATCTCATCCGCTGCGTCTTTACGATTCCATACTGACGAGAATTATGCGACAGTCATGAAGGTCGGCCGTGTGGCCATCATCACCCGTGGCCGTTACGCCGGTAAGAAGGTACGACAAATCGCCCATATCCCCCCTCTCGAATTGCGCACACAATTTGAAGATTGAGACGGACTGCATCATTGGAACATCGAATCAACGACAGAAAGGCTACTGCTCAACTGCATTTCTTTTGACGACAAGAAAAAAAATCCAATTTGATGGAGGACCGGAATTCAAGATTGTGAATATGTGAATCCAAGTGCTGACAAGCGCTTTTCTTTCCGACTACAGGTCGTCATTGTCCAGCCTCAGGACTCTGGCTCCAAGGCCCACCCCTTCCCTTTCGCCATTGTCGCCGGTATCGAGCGTTACCCCCTCAAGGTCACCCGCCGCATGGGTAAGAAGCTTGTCGACCGCCGCTCCAAGATCAAGCCTTTCATCAAGGTCGTCAACTACAACCACCTGATGCCCACCCGTTACACTCTGGAGCTCGAGGGCCTCAAGGGTGTCGTCTCCCAGGACACCTTCAAGGAGGTCTCTCAGCGCGAGGACGCCAAGAAGACTATCAAGAAGGCCCTCGAGGACCGCTACACTTCCGGCAAGAACCGCTGGTTCTTCACTGCTCTGCGTGCGTCCCACCGAATATCCACACCAATTCGAACACTTTCATCGTTTCGTTTTTGGCGCTCCTCTCGAATTACTTTTTTACTGACTTTTTTTCTTCTCATCCAGGCTTCTAAACGGTTTATCACGGGCGTTTGTCGTTGTTCAGGTGAAGGCGAGGGGGAAAAAAGCATCGAGCACATTTTCCGCTCCCTGAATTGGGATAGGAAGGCATATACCATAGCTGGAAACAGAATCGGGAATGTATCGGTGAACTCCAGTTTTGAGCGAAGGGGGCGCCCTACAAAATTGGCGCCTGCCTGAATGAAATGGAAAATATGAACAATTATTCTTTTTTCAAATGATCCTTCTTACGAATCCTTGCATGCGTCTGCAGCTTCTTTGCCAGCACACTTCCTTTTTCCGATTTCCCCATGCGCTTGACGTCAAGAGTCTCAAGAGTCCAACACTCATTCGGTCCCCCCGCAGCCCATGTTATCGTCTTGTTGATGTGATGCTTTCCCCAACACTCGGCCAGGCAGAACTTTTCCACCTGGTCTATCCCGATGTCCTTGGCAACTCGATGACGGTGGTTTTCTATCTACATACTAGTAGACATGCTTGTGAACGCCTCTTCGGGTCACATGTTTCTTTTCGCGTCAGATCTAGAGTAAAAAATGCGTAGGCATGGCCTGTGGCTTTTCAAAGCCCATGTGATCGAAATCTTATCTTGACTACACCAACCAATCTGGAAGTGGACAGCGGACCCTTTGTTAGTTCCAAAAGCCCCTTCGCATGTGAAACGCCTTCGATTCCAGAAACAATTCAATCAGGAGCTTCCGCGGTTGACGGCAGGGACGTATGTGCATATGTACTATTGTATGTATACACCTGCAGCCGAGATCCCATCCAGACCAGAGGGAAGCCGCAGAATCCGCCACCTCGGGTGGACCGCGCTCCAATAAGGAACCGTATCTCATTATTTTGGAAATAGGATCTACCGCATCTTGATACTGAAACTAGCAGGTAGTACTTCTTCTATCGCTGCCTGCCTAGGTTCACAAGATTTTCCTTCTCCCAAGGCCATACGTGGTGGCGCAACATTGGAACTTGCCACACCACATACTACATCGAGAAACGATTGTCCTCCGGGACAGGCAGGGTTCACGGTACAATCACGAATCGGATCGGAGAACTTGGTAGTCCAAGAAGGCGGAGAATATTTACGTACGAGAAAACTAAAATAACAAATGCAAAAGTACTGGAACTAGTCCGTTGTTCGGCTCGGCATGCTCATCAAACTAAAAACTATAGTCCGCACTGACAAGCGACCTAACCCGAGACTCAACATTGACGGTCAACCCACATGGATTGATCTACACGGACTCGGAGCTTAAGCCAACGGGATTGCCACCAGATCGACCAAGATGTTGCCATTCTGTCGTCTAGCCGGAAAACCAAACAGCCTCGAAAGACAGCAAAGAAAAAGAACTTGAAAGAAAAAAAAATCAAATCAAATCAAAAGTATATCGAACAAGCTCCCGAGGAGCTCGGACAGCATTCAAGTTCTGAGACAAGCCATATTCTCCGAGACGCAGGTCATCAAACCAGACCAGAAGCAAATTGAACAAGCACATGCAGTGCACAAATTGTCTCAACCCCCGTAGCCTCCGATTTATGCTCATGGGTGGCATGTATGTACCACAAAAATACAACACACCTCACCACACCCTCGTCCCATCCCACCTATCGTAACACAGTTCCACGCCAACACCAGCAGCATCAGCAGCAGCAGCCCCGGGCACCCACCCAATTGACCAACCGCAGCATGCGCGCGTGGGTATTAAATCTTGATATAGCGAATGCCGACTCTGCACCCCCGACCTAGTGTATGGTCAATCCAATCGCCGAGGATCGGATGATTTTACGACGAATCATCAAATGTACCAGTCGCACGCCCGGGACGCGCGCAATTGGAGGCCGGAAAGGGAGGGGGTTAGAGGAAGAGGAGAGGAGAGGAGAGGGGCTCAGGATCAACTAGGGTAGAGGCCGATCGCGAACCTGGCTAGAACCTTGTGCTATTTGGTGCTTTGGAAAAGCCGCATGCGTACAGTACTCCGTAGAGCGCCGACGGTCCCCATTTCCATCTCCCATTTCCATTTCACGAGCTACTCGCCCTATCCCGGCTTTGATTTTGCGGCATGGTTGGGTGGGTGGCTAGCTGGCTAGGATGGTTGGCAATGGGGGAAGGGGGAAGGGGGAAGGGGGGTACGAGTAGCAAGAGGCGGGATGACAATTGGGAGATTGATGGTACTTTTTTTTTCTTTTCGCGCCGGTCCATACAGGAGGTTTGCTAGGCGACGCTCAGGCCAAAGGGGAGTGGATACAAGGTGCAGGGGACAGGAGTCGAGCGAGGCTGGATTCTTTTTAATTTTCAAGGCGGGAAGATGAGCAAGTTGACTCCGGGCTACAGGTGTCACGGCCAGAAGCCAGTCATGAAACTAAGGCATGTCGGCTCTAGGCATGCCGGGTCCTTGGCTGATAAGAGGGCCATCGATGATGTTCTCGCCCCAAGCCCGGATTTGAAGTGGGGGTTTCGTGGAGGAACAAGGTTCATGGCGGGGAGTCAATCGTTCGAGTAGTGTAGATTTCTTCGCTCTCATCGGGTGATGGTGTGCTCACTCTGGCAGGGTCTGGGAACCGGTTAAGTGTAAATGACAGTCGTGAATATGTATGTACCAAACCATGAAACTCCTCGTAGAGTCGATCAGTGAGGCTAACATGTTTTAGTGGTGGTGGATCCAAATGCGTCGACGTTGGACCCGCAATCACATGTGAAGGGGGGGGGTTCTTATCAAACCCATGTTGCAAGCTAATGCAATTGTGCTGAACACGATGATTGCGCAACGGGATATCCTATTCCTTGGGTCTCGGGAGAGTAAATTGCTGGATGTCGATATCAAATCGATAGGAAACCTTGGGAGGTAAAGTAGAGTCGCTCGTTACCGGGAAGCCAAATTTGCCATGGCGTCAGGGCAAGCTGCAGCAGAGAGGTCTGATCAAGATCCAGCCCAGGTCGAGAAACCGAACCAAGCATAATTTTACTGCCAAGGATGGAAAAGGAAATAGAAAATCGCAAATTGAACAGAGTGATGAAGTAATGTACATAGAGGCAAAACCAGCCGGGGAATACGATCCCTGCGCACAGATGATGCGATTGCGCTGGGGCCTTGTGAGGCCAATGGCAATTGCATAATGCGGGCGCAATCACATGTGAAAATCTATATACAGCCCACACCACCTTGGGATCTCTCTCTTTTTTTCTTCCCTTGGACTCTGCTCTTTTCTACTTCTTGACTTCCTCATTCCTGAAGTCTTTTCTCTCTTCTTCTTTTTCTCTCTCTCTCTCTCTCACACACACTCACATTATCTCCCTCTTCATGCCCCACGCCGACTCTGACAAGATGGGTGAACCAATCGTCAACGGCGAGAAGGTCCATTCTCAATTCCTCGACGTATGCAGCTACCCAGCGCCGTATCCCGTTTGATTTGCGCCACTGGCTAACACTATTTCGTGACTCACTAGCACCTCACCTCTTACCCCGTGGTCTCCGACTCCATCGCCGTCTTCAAGGGCAACCCATACGGTGCCAAGTCCATCGAGTTTGCCGACCAAGGCTACACCCGCTTGGCCAAGCCCGTCCTGCCCTACTTCTCTGCGCCCTACAACTATGTTGCACCTTACCTTGCCCGTGCCGATACTTTCGGTGACAAGGGTCTGAGCCAGATTGATACTCGCTTCCCCATCGTCCGAGAAGATACCCAGAAGATCCGCGGTACTATCTACAACACCGCTGGCTACCCGGTGCGCGTCGCAGGCGATGTCAAGCACCACCTCTTCGACACCTATGGTTCGGAATACAAGAAGTGCGGTGGTGATGGCATCTTTGCCTCCGGAAAGGCGGTTATCACGACTAGCTTGGTGATTTCGCAGGAGTCGTTGGCGTGGGTCCACACCTGGTTGCAGACTGCCAAGGACGAAGTCAAGGAAGTCGTGAACGAGAAGACCAACAACCACTGATTAGATTTTTATTTTCTTTCTTTGCTTGAGCGCCTGTTTTTATTTGCCGCCTTGTTTCCTAGAGAAAAATAATACCTATTATTGCGTCTGCTTTGATTAAGTTTTTGATTTTGTGTCTTGAATGTGGTGGGGTGCTCCACTACATATATTGTCGATCGTTCAAGCTTCAAGCTTCAAGCTGTTCAGCACAGGTGAATTCCAGTTTACAACTAGTACCAGTACTCTCAACAGACCATTTTGGAAAATGAAGCTTCTAGTGTGCTCCTTTATTGCAAGAATATTTTATCTGAATACCTTAGACACCAAGAGCACCCAAGAGCATAAGGAAGGTATTAGCTTTGGAGGCAATAGATAAGAGCACGGACCACCTGACCGGATGCGGTAAAATCGCTGTTTGATCGGATCGCGTCGCGTACACTCACCATCTCAAACACACCATACCCCCCCCCCCGAACAAACTTTCAAGTTGACTCCGCACCCAACCCAGCGACAAAAATGCCCCTGGTCCGCAAAAGACAAGCAGTAAGTGAGAGATAACCAAGTTCAACCAACACCCCCACTAACAAGAACCAGCCCGAGCCCGCGGACTCAGACGACCGAACCCCCCAACCAAGCCCAGCCCGCCGTCAAAGAACACGCTCCTCTTCAGCCGCAGAAGATGACAGCGAAGATGGCGGAAGTGGTGCACCATCAACTCTCGACGCGATGGTCAAGAAAATGGTCCGTCTCGCTCTCGCGAGCGAGTACTCCCGCCTTCCTATCCGTCGAACCGACATTAGCGCCAAAGTCCTCGGCGAGCAAAAATCACGCGAATTCAAGGTTGTCTTTGATCAAGCGCAGAAAGAGCTGAAGACTCGGTTTGGAATGGAGATGGTTGAATTGCCTGCGCGCGAGAAGACGACTATTTCACAGCGGCGGGGTGAGTTTTGATGTTATCCCATCCTTTCCTTCATTTACCTGGTTGTCTATAATGACGAACTCAATCTGGATCAGAGGGCCAGAAAGGAAAAAAAACAAAACAGAGACTAATAGTGCATCCTCCTAAAATAGCCGCTCAAAAAACAGACAAACCCTCATCCGGGAATAAATCCTGGATCTTAACGACAACACTACCACCATCCTACCAATCATCCACAATCTTACCACCCACAAAGGCCCCCTCCGCAAGCACAGAAAGTACCTACACAGGACTCTACAGTTTCATAATAGCCCTGATAAGTCTAAACGGCGGCTCCCTCGCCGAGCCAAAACTGGACCGCTACCTCGCCCGGATGAACGCAGAAACACACACGCCCATCGACCGCACGGACAAACTCCTCCAGCGCATGATTCGAGAGGGCTACCTCGTTCGAACGCGCGAGCTAGACGGCGGCGAAGAGCAGATTGAGTTCCTGGTCGGGCCGCGGGGTAAAGTTGAAGTGGGGACGAAAGGGGTGGCTGGACTTGTGAGAGAGGTTTATGGGCGCGGAGTGGGAGATGCCAATGCCAATGGTGGGGTTCCTGGGTACGGGGACGGAGATGAAGATGTGCTGGGCGGGGAAATGACGCAGATTGAGGAAGAGGAGAGGGAGGCGTTTGAGGGTCGGTTGAGGAGGAGTTTGGGGATTCGTGAACGTCCCGGGTCGACCCAAGAGGCTGGGTCGAATGGACAACGAGGTGGTGAGGAGGAGGCGGAGGTGGATGCTGAAGCTAATGCTAATGCACGTCGGAGTGAGGGGCCGAGACGGTCTAGGCGCTCTGCACCTGCTACGCAGCGGGATTCTGAGTCTTCGGGAGAGGAGGAGTCAGCCACTGATTCGGATTGATTCGGGTCGGGTTGAATGTGAATGTCTGAGTGTTTTGTAGTTGTTGCATGGCCCTGTTTCTATTTCCCATTGGAATATTCTGGCTGTAGATTGGAGACATTGTTGTGATACCCTGGAGTTTTTAAAATTAATTGCATCGATGCATATACAAAATACTGGTTCTAGTAATGAGTTTGAAACTCTACTTTTAGATCTCTACAATCTAAGACTCCTCGCTGATTGGGTGGCCTATGAGCTCAGGCTGCTTGAGTAGGTACTCCAGAACCTGATACACAATGTCCACAGGTAGAAGACCGTCATTGTTGCCAAGATCCAAGCCCATGTTGACGTATTTTTTGAAACCGATTAGTTACCAGAGACATGTGCTATATTAACTAAAGTAAGTCCCAGAGATACGGAGTTCCTGTGGTCTGGATTACGACGGTCTCGCTGCACTTTTGAAAGCCAAAGGCCATCGGGATCTTCTAGCTAATCGTTGTGACTTAAGCCAGGTAATCTAGACCCGTCCCCTATACTCTTCATTGTTCCCCAAACCCTAAATGCCAAGTAAGGCTAAACTTAATTGAGAAAGTAATGGAAATAACAAATTTCCGGTAGTTTACGAACACATATTCTTACAGAACCTAAGTTATATGCAGTATGCTTATATGTGTATGGGAGATACGAGGATATTGTTGGAGCTTGGAGTAATGCAAACAATACTCTGTAAGGTTCACACAGATCTAGAAGCGGTGGATCTTGTGGACTCAAACTTTTATTTGTTATCTTCGCTAATGTAGCGGTCTGAGTGGGCTATTCTAGTGCTCACTGGAAACCTAGAACCTTATAACCTTGCGTAACCAGACCAGACTGTATGTGGCTTCATATGGCCATAGATTAAGGTATAGAAAGATGTGTAATTCACTCCAGGGCTGTACGCAGAAACGCCGGGTCATATTCCACATTCTCCACCAACATCTGACTGGAGCAAAATATCTCTAGACTTTCACCCCTAATTACCTGCTAGCCAACAAATCTCCTGGCCTACAAAAAGGTACTGGAATGGAGTAGGAAAATAGCGCAATCTCCCTGTACTGTCCTCCGGGATCTCGGTCTATTGCTCTCGCGATTATTGTACTACATAATTCATCTGTGCTCTCCTTGTTTGTACCTATGCGCAGCGTGGCGGTGCTTAGGGCCGTTAACCGGCCTTAGATTGAAGCTTCTAACGCCCAGATGCTGGCACAGCATTCAGCCGCAGATCTATTGAGCGCCAGATGATTCCCCTTCAGGAAAGGCTGGCTAAGCCTTGGAGTCCACAGCACCACCCCAAGCTAAACTAGCTTGTAATGTGAGTGGTCGCTTTTGCGCCTATGACGTCACTGCGAACCCTATCATCACCGTAACCAGGATCGCTGTAAGGCGCAGTAGATCACTTATTTAGTATAAAATATGCTATTATCGTGATTAGCACTTTATTAAAGTCACACTTGCTATTTACCAAGCTTTTATTCCGCGATCTCGGGAGACATAACCATTCAAATCAAGCACGATGGGTCTATCTACATGTTCACTACTATCAAGACTGAACCGTCATTCTCAGCCAATAGAGGACTGGAAGTTCCAGTCTCCCCCCCGACTACAAGGACTCGGCCATTGAATCGGACTACACTAGCAGCCAATCCTCCTTCCCCGACCGCTTTCCCTCCACAAACGAGCTTCAAGTAGAAGCCATTGGATACGATACCAACCAAGCACTCAGCGGCCGCAAAACGCTAGAGAATATTTCTGTCTACAGCCTGAAATCCGGAGCACCTATACAAGAAAAATACACCTCTGTCCGCCTAAAGAGAGGTTCCAACTCGTGCGCATTGGTGCGTCCATCTGATCCACGTCAGAATGCTCTTATTTCAACTATCTATCGTTGGGGCCCGGGCAGACATCCCAGAATGCATATCCTACCCCACGATGCCGATTTTTCGGTGAAGCGGGCTATAGACGATGATAATCTATGTGGAGAACTAGTCGAAGTCAAAAGCCGGTCGATTATTAGCCATGCCCAGGTTTTCGACTCGTCGTTTGGCAAATTCGAGTGGCGCTACGGTAGTCGGGAAGAAAGAAAAGCTTTTAATGCGGATTCGCTGCTCATTCTGGAGCGCATTGATCGCATTGTATTACCGGATGGCACAGAAACTAAGAGTGGCGCCAGAATCGCTCATCTTATTCGAAACGACCAATTCCGCACCCCCGGCTCTGTTAGGTACTCCGGAGGTAATGGTGGTCGCTTAGTGATGGATCTGCGTATGTGGAAGGACGAAAAGGATGTCCACGCTGAAGGTGTAGAGGCTTTCTTTGTAGCGAGCTGTATCTTGATGCTGAAGAGAGAGGCGGATCGTTTCATCGATAATAATATCGCCGCTGTGACATAAACGAACGGGCCTTTCTGCGAGGCTCCTCCAGCTTGGAATTGAAGTAATACTTTGATTTCAAGTTGCTTTCTGTACAATACTATATATGGTAGTTTGATATGACGTTCAATAAGGTCTCGTCATGATACTGACAGCTAAGATGGCCAAATCCTGAAAGTATCTAGGGAACCTTGGAACCAAGTACTATAAGCTCCAAGGAGACACCGTAGATAATAGGATATGTATTGGTAGATTAGTGATGGTTGCCCTTCAGCTTAGCCGCAGGCGTTATATACCTAGGTAGTTATAAACTGCATGTGCCCAGGAAGTATTCATCCTAAAATGTGAGCTCGGCTGTGTGCCGTGCATCAGTGCCATGTTTATTTTCATTCACAGTGATATCTACAGCACTCTGCCTTGGCCTCTGGTTGTGCTACTCGATGTAGTCCAGTAATTTACGCTACATCCCCAAAACAAATAAGGCTGATATAGCTATTGTGAAAGTACATAGTCTAGTGTATCTTGGCATTTAGGTTTCGGGGAACAATAGAAGAATTGTAGGGGGAGGGGTGACACCGATTTCGGAAAAACTGTATAGTCCTTCACATTATGAGTAACAAAACACACGTTCAACGGCAAATACTATCTATCCAATTTTGTCTTGAAACCAAGCCCCTCGGGGTTCCTTATCGTATGTACCTGCCCCAGAGTCCCGTAATGGGCATTAAAATGTACCATCGAAATAAGGGTGGTATACTGTAGCGACGTAACATAAACGTGGTTTTATTAGATGCCCAGGTGCATGATATAAGTCTTGCAGTCTTGGCCCTTGGTTATTATCTCCAAGGCTTTCACGTCGCGGGAACAGCCCTGTAGAGAGTGATATGTGCCAATGACTCAATCGACATTGCGATTTCCCTAGCATATAGATAAGCGAAGTACTGGCTGGAGCCTTGCATCTCTCGCCTGGCGAGGTACATTTCTACCTGGGCGGGAACGGATTTAAGTGGAACCTCTGGGAGCTAGGCGAAGAGGCCACAACAGAGATATTTAGTAGTACACTTGCACGGAATCAAATTGCTTGTCTACGCACCGTGCTTTGAGCAAGGGAAATATACTGCCTTATGGTTATGGTTGAATGTATACTATGTTTGAGCCTACAGGGATTGAAGTTTACAATGTGCACAAAAATTCGGTCTCAAATCTGTTAATAGAATTTTAGAGAGACTAAGCTAGGTCTAGCTCGATCCATAAGCGTTTTTGTAAGAAAATCATCACGGCATCTCTGCATCATGTGAAGAAATCGCTTATTTCTTGCCAGCCTTCTGGGCAGCCTTGGTGACCTTACCGGCACCACCAACGGACTTGTCGACGGACTTGATGACACCGACGGCGACGGTTTGACGCCTATGACAAAGGTTAGTGTTATGATCGCATTTTCACAAGAAGAAAAGAAACTTACATGTCGCGGACGGCGAAACGACCCAGAGGGGGGTAGTCAGTGAAAGCCTCAACACACATGGGCTTGGAGGGAACCATCTTGACAATGGCGGCATCACCAGACTTGACGAACTTGGGCTGGTCCTCAACGGACTTTCCGGTACGGCGGTCAATCTTCTCCAGAAGCTCAGAGAACTTGCAGGCAATGTGGGCGGTGTGGCAGTCCAGAACGGGAGCGTAACCGGCACCGATCTGACCGGGGTGGTTCAGAACAATGACCTGGGCATTGAAAGAGGCAGCAGCCATGGCGGGGTCCTGGTTATAGGGTTAGAAAGGAGCCAAAGGTGATGATGAGTATTCAGAAGTGACTTACGTTCTTGGAGTCGGAAGCGACGTTACCACGGCGAACCTCCTTGACGGAGACGTTCTTGACGTTGAAGCCGACGTTGTCACCGGGGAGACCCTCCTTGAGCTGCTGGTGGTGCATCTCGACGGACTTGACCTCAGTGGTCACGTTGGCGGGAGCGAAGGTAACAACCATACCAGGGACGATCTTACCGGTCTCAACACGACCGACGGGAACCGTGCCAATACCGGAGATCTTGTAGACATCCTGGAGGGGCAGACGGAGGGGCTTGTTGGAGGGACGGACAGGGGGGCTCGATGGCATCGATGGCCTCCAGCAGGGTCTTACCGGTGACCTTGCCGTTCTTGCCCTCCTTCTCCCAACCCTTGTACCAGGGGCAGTTGGGGGGAAGGCTCAAGCATGTTGTCACCGTTGAAGCCGGAGATGGGGACGAAGGGAACGGTCTTGGGGTTGAAGCCAACCTTCTTGATGAAGTTGGAGGTCTCCTTGACGATCTCGTCGTAACGGGCCTGGGCCCACTTGGCAGTGTCCATCTTGTTGAGGGCAACAATGAGCTGACGGACACCAAGGGTGAAAGCCAGAAGGGCGTGCTCGCGGGTCTGGAAACTTAGTTAGATTGAAGTTATTTTAATTGTGAGTGTGAGTGGGATGCTTACCTGGCCGTCCTTGGAGATACCAGCCTCGAACTCACCAGTGCCGGAGGCGATGATGAGAATGGCGCAATCGGCCTGGGAGGTACCAGTGATCATGTTCTTGATGAAGTCACGGTGACCGGGGGCATCAATGACGGTAACCTCGAACTTGGCGGTCTGGAACTTCCACAGAGCGATATCGATGGTGATACCACGCTCACGCTCAGCCTTCAGCTTGTCGAGAACCCAGGCATACTATTGAATGGGTCAGCATGATGAAGAGAAAAAAAGAAGACAAACCCTTCCATATAGGTTGGGTATGTGGATGGATGGTTGAACGAACCTTGAAGGAACCCTTTCCGAGCTCAGCAGCCTCCTTCTCGAACTTCTCGATGGTACGAGTGTCGATACCACCGCACTTGTAGATCAAGTGACCGGTGGTGGTGGACTTGCCGGAATCGACGTGGCCGATAACGACAATGTTGACGTGAGTACGCTCGTCCTTACCCATTGTGGCGGTTAGGTTCTTGAAGTTCTTTGTAAGATACTAGGAAGATCCTGAAAATTGCACAGATTCTACAGCGTGTGTAGAGGTACTGTGCGCAAGAGAGTTAGATGGATGAAAGAAAGAGAAGAAAAAAGTGAAGGGGGGGGTAAGATATACGTACTGATGCGGACAGGGAGGAAAGAAAAAAATCTGTGGGAGGGGCGAGGAGGGGAAATCCTTATATGGAGGGGCAAGCGAGAGAAAGAGGCGAAGTGGGCTGGGTTAGCCCTTTCGTTTGCTGGGGGTGTGATTGGCCAATTCCAGCTCTAGTGGGGCCTTCCAGCGGGACAACAAGAAAATTCTGCGGTGGGCTGTTTAGCGTGGTAGAGATACACCTATTTGCATACTATCTACTATGCTCTCTCTTGTACCTATACACCCCAATTTCGTTCCTTGGTTACCCTGCCACCAGTCTCCACTCTGTGTGAATTTTCTTCCTCATCGTGGTCCTTTCAACCCACCACTGGGCAGCAACGCAGTTGTCGGGCCTTCTTTTAGTGGAATTGCCGCAGTAGTATTGTTTTGTTTTGCCCTATTTTCTATTTCCTTTTTTTAATACTTTTTATACAGAGGGGGGAGTTCCCCCCCCCCCTCTTGGCTACCCCTCCAGATAACACCAAATGCAGCCCAATTTACATGTCCGGAGTAGAGTGACTGCCCCTCCCGCGGGGCATCGAGCAGTCACCGCCAAATCGAGACCCACCATCACCAGGCTGCACATGTCATGCAGAGGTATTTTTGCCACAGACGTCAATAGATAGAATGAATGAATCAAAAATATATACTCGTATATTGATGGCTGGGAAGTCTCATGAATTACTAGTACAATTGTACTAGTAGAGCCCAGTAACCTGAGTCATATTACTACTTTGTAGTACTATGTACGGGTAGTAAAAGTATGGAGGCTGGCAAGACCCATGGTTACAACCAACCCCCAAAAACTTTTTTTTCTCTTTTCGTTTTTAGCCTACAATTCGCCGATCGCGAATGCTCCGGCCTATCATTGACGTATGGTCGATCAATTTCGGGTATCTCATCTACAGCCGCCGCTGTAGCCATGTGTATGCGTTCGTACCAAAACGCCCAACTAAGTAAAGAGCAAAATTATATGATGCGCCATTTTGTGTTGACGCCTGAATGGGAAACAATTCTCTCTTCAAAATGACCCCCCCTCCCCCCACCTCGTGATCTCATCCCGTTGATCAGATCAGTTCTCTCTCCACCGTGCACCACAGTCGCAGCACTGCGTACAGCTGTCAGATAATGCGGCGCCCGCGTGTGCGTAAGGGGGAGATGCGGGCACTTACCTTTAAGAATGTAGTCATCGGCTCATCTGCACTGCGGATCTGCAGCTGGAAGAAGTATGCACGGTCTCCGTTGCAGTTCTCGGCAGGGCATTGTGCTGGGAAAGAGAAGATATTGTGATTAGTTTCCAGTCCCAACTAGGATCCAGCCTGAGACCCAACCCAAAGGCCGGTCTGCAATATAGACTAGGAATGGGGGAATCTTTCGCAACATACTGCCCACACTATCGGCATTGGCGAACTCCTCCTTGCCGCCGAATACATCCTCCACCTCCTTCTGCTTCATCTCGGTCGTCTCGAAGATGGTCTGTCGCACGATGGGTTGCTCGTAGGGGCAGGTGCGGCACTCGAATCGGTTGATACCCATCGGATGTTGAGTCGAGGACTCCGCTCGGGAAACTGTCAGCGCATTGCTGCAGTTGGGACAGACTGAAGATGAGATTCGTTAGCTTTCTGCTCGTGCGATTCTCGATCGGGGATCACCAACAAACGAGCGGCATTTCAGCTAGCGCGTAGTTTCAATATCCCAGGGAAATCAAGTCTTGTATAGACCGGTAACCGTAGCTGAAGCAAAGAGAAGTGTAACCCTCGCCTGCTGGCTCAAACGCTGTCGACTTGCAGGACGACCAAATCTCCAACTGCGCCGGCAAACTAACCGCGCGGCTAAATTTAGACGGCGGGGTTTTCGGAAAGTCACATGATCGTGGGATGTCCCTGGGGAACAAACATCTACGCTGCCACGCTACTGAGATCCTGACCGATCATCTGAAATTCTCTGCTTGTAAATACGCCTTTCACTGAACTTCTGGGAACAAGCCCCTTACCATTTTACTCTACATCCCTTGTTTCGTCTCGTGTTTTCCCACGTTTCACACCGACTAGCTCCGTGTCCCTATTGCCGCGCGACTGGAACCGCTGCCTTCTCCCAAACAACCTGCGAATTGCGACTTGTACTCAACAATGGCCGACGAAGAAGTACGTTATGAATTTTACTTTTTGCTCTTTGCATATCCGCTAACTTTCAGTCCTAGGGTGCCTCACCCCGCGAGCTGGTCGTGGAAGCCTGCCGCCGCGACCAACCACACCTACTGGAACAAGTCCTGGCTTCGATGGAGGAGAAATCAAATGAGGAAGTGGCACAGTTCTTCAACAGCGTGACAGATCCACTGGGCAACCACGCATTGCACATTTGTGCCATCTACGGAAGCTGTATGTAGACCTCTTCTTCCCAAGCACAAAAGCTACCCCGAGCCTGTCCCCCCTCCCAAACCCAAACCCCGCGGCTAACAGATTCTCACGACAGACGACGTTATGGACTCCCTCTTCGATATTCAGTATTTTGAATGCGACCCGAAGACGCGAATGGACGATGACACACCGCTCCACATCGCCGTGCGATACGCCAACGACAAGGACAGGGAACTAGGCACCGAGATGGTGAAGATGATGTGCGAAGCTGGCTGCGACCCCCGGGTACGGAATAAGTTCAATCAGAAGCCGGTCGAGCTAGTCTTCAACAACGACGAGATCAAGCAGGTCCTCCAAAAGGCGGAGTACATCATGGCTGAGGGTATGCAAAACCAGGGCGAGGACTCGGATCTTGGCAGCGCTAGCGACAGCGAATAGATCGTTTGTCCCAAGAATCTTTATTACTGGTGTCCCTCCCTTTTCCTTTTCGCCGTCGGCTTTTTGTTGCTGTCCTGTCGATTCTAGAGGCCCTGGTGGTTTCGTGGGACGTCTTTTCAGCGCTGGCGGGTTTTCCTTTTCCGAGCATACGACTTTGAGCTAGATCTGATCTTCTTTTTTATTCGTGTTATGATATTATGAATGGAGCTTTTGCATTTGTGGCTTTGGGGGGGGGTTTTTTTAGTGTACTAGTAATTGGGTCGCTTCCCAGGTTGTAGTAGTGCAGATATATAAACTGAGACCCCAGCTATTATATTCTTGGCAAAAGTGATGTCTACCTTGGAAACTTCCAAATCCATGAATCAAAACCACTTGCCGGTCGGCAGGAGCCCTCCTGGACTTACAAGCCGTGGAAGGACTCTATGTAAGCCAACTTCAAGTTGAACATACCCCCCCAGTGTGCTACTAGTAGGTAGTAGGTACTAGATACCTAGTAGTACCTTTGACCATCGGAGCTCATCCGAGGTTGATGGACTCCAGGGATCTTAATTACATTCAACTCATGCACCTGCCCAGTTGTATGATTTAATCTAGTAGATTTAAGCCTTATGATCCTCATAAATTATTCACCATGACCCCTTGCCGACCTGAGCAGCTTTTGTTGACCTCTTACTATCATAATCTGGAATGAAGCCTTCCAAACTCACTACTAGTATACTACCCGACCTACTCCCAGCCTGCCGCCAACTGCTCTCTATATCCAGCAATAATCTCCGCAGAGACATTGCTACCTCCACAAACAACAACAACGACCCGAGTTTCCGGCTTGAGATCGGGAATTGCCTTCTTCAACTCCTTGCCAACAGCAACCTCAACACTAACACCACAAGCCAGCTCAACCTCCAAACGCGTCTCATCAGCAAGCAGTACGACGCCACGCGCAGCCTCCGCGTCCGAGCGAACAACACTCGTGACCTGAACACCAGGAGGCGGGTTACTCGCCAGCTCAAACGTCCTGGACGAAACCTGCAACGCGCCGAGAGAAGTAGCTTGCGAGGTAATCGCATCGAGCGAAGATAACTTCCCCTCACTCAGCGAGTGAGCAAGCGCATGAGCACCCTGCGTTTCAACAGCCAACACGCGCACATTCTTATTAGCCTTAGCCCCCGAATCCGAATCCTTTAAACACCTCTCCAACCCACCAACCAACCCATTAAAAAGACCACCCCCACCAACACTGCAAATAACCGCGTCCGCGGCAAATGCATTCGCTCCACCCTCACCCTTCCGAGCGGGCAATTGTCTCGCAATCTCATCAATCATACTACTCGCCCCCTCCCAAACAAGCGGGTGGTCAAATGGGGGTACGTAAACATTAACCCCATCAGCATTATTCTCGGCGTCGATGAATTGTTCTCGTAGATGAGTGTCTGCTTCGAACCAGCTGGCGCCATGCTGGATAACCTCTGTTGCACCGGCCTGATGCAGCTTGTTGATCATGAACGGCTTCGTGCTGTGCGGTACGACGACGGTACATTTGCAGTTTAGGTCTTGGGCTGCGCGCACCGCGGCGAGGCCCGCATTGCCACCGGATGAGATGTAGAAATGGGGTGGGTGGGTTTGGGAGTGCGATTTTAGATTTGCGTGGATGAAGTTACCGACGCCGCTGGCCTGATGTTAGCTTTCGTTCTTTTCATCTTTTCTTTTCAAGACTAAAATTATATCGCAATAGGTTGGTATTCAAGTTGTTCGATTTTTTGCCCCGGTGGCGAAGATGGAGGGGTAATAACACCGGGGTGGGGATGGGCGATATTGCGAGGAATTGGAATAAAATTTGAGACATACCGGGATTTGAAGGAGCCGGATGGTTGGAGGAGGTCCAGTTTGAGGAAGATTCGACTGAAGTAGCCAGATTTGCCGGTTAGTACTGGGATAGACGAATATTTTGGGAGGTTTCTTTCATTGATAGTGAGAAGCTTCTTACCATCCCGCAAGCTTGGATAGAGTCGACGACTCAATTAGTGGAGTCTCGATCCAGGGCTTTTTAATATCGTTTGTGGAACCCATGGTGTTTTGTGGGGTGAGAGAATGTCGAGTTGTTATCCCATCTGAAGAGCGCACCGCTCTCATATATCCGGCACCTGGGCAGAGATGTCATTTGAAGGGCGGGCGCCCCACGCTTCTATACATCGGCAACCCCAATTGGACAACCAGAAGGTTCCGACATCAATTTGGAGGCTTCTCCACTATGCGGGGTTAAGCCGACTGGCCCCAAGGTCACATTTGGGCTGGGCCAGTCATGAAGTTGTCCAAAGGAGAACGAGAATGCTAGTCAATGCTACTTATTAGTTTTCTACTTTTTACTCAAGCAACCGTTAAAATTAGAATACAGATCACATTGGATATCATCTAGATCGCAAAAAAACGAGAGAAAAAAAATATGGAAAAATCTAGCCTCTCCAGATACAAATTGTCTGCAACAGCATGCTAATATAATTAGCAGCGGTACTCCAACAAAACCTGGACTCACAACTCCCCGCAGAAAATCGACTTTTTTCTCCTTCCCTTTCTCCAAGTGATTGAAAACCGAACTTTGGGTTGTTAGATACATATTGTCACAAATATATACGCTTCCTTACACCATTTATTTGGTGGCATTAGCCTTGGCGGCCAGCAGGTTCAGCGCACTACCAGCAAGGATAAACCTGGACTGGTCCTTGCTCAGGGTGTGGTTGACGGGAACCATGAAGGTCTCGCCAGTCTTGCGCTTGGTCACGCGGAGCTGGACCTCACCCTGGCCACCGGCCTGAAGGGTGTCGTAGAGACCGACAGTGTCGACGCTGTCACAGGCCTCAATGCGGTCGTAGTCCTCGCGGTTGGCAAAGGTCAGGGGGACAACACCCTGCTTCTTGAGGTTGGTCTCGTGGATACGAGCAAAGCTCTTGGTCACAATGACGCGGCCACCCAGGTAGCGAGGCTGCAGGGCAGCGTGCTCACGGGCAGAGCCCTCGCCGTAGTTATCCTCGGCGACAACGAGCCACTCGAGACCCTTGGCCTTCCATTGCTCAGCAAGCTCGGGGATACCGAACTGAGCTCCGTTCTCATCATAAGCGACGTTGGTTTCGCCAGTCGCAGCATTGACGGCACCGATCAGAGTGTTGGCGGAGATGTTGGGCAGGTGACCCTTGTACTTGAGCCAAGGACCGGCGGCAGAGATAGTGTCAGTGGTGCACTGGCCCTTGACCTTGTACAGGACCTGCAGGCCGCTCAGGTCACCCTTGGGGAAAGGAGCGAAGGGCTCGAGGAGAGCCAGACGATCCGAGGTAGGGGAGACGGCGACGGAAACGCTGGCATCGGGAATGGCAGCGGTAGGCTGGAAGTCGGGGTTACCGGCCTCGAAACCAGCACTGGGGAGGTGCGAGCCCTGAGGAGGCTGGAACTTGAAGTTCTCACCACTGGGGGTGGGCAGGGAATCGGTCATGGGGTTGAAAGTAGTGCTGCCAGAGTAGGCGAGCGCGGTGACGAGCTCAGGCGAAGCCAGGAAGTTCATGGTACGGCGGTTGCCATCGTTACGACCGGGGAAGTTACGGTTGTAAGAAGTGAAAATGGCGTTGTCCTCACCCTTGGGCGTCTCATCGGTACGGGTCCACTGACCAATACAGGGACCGCAGGCGTTAGCAAGAACGACACCACCAGCCTCGGAGAAGGTGGACAGAGTCTGGTCGCGCTCAAGAGTGGCGCGGATCTGCTCACTACCGGGGGTGATGAAGAAGTCGGCCTTGGGCTTGAGGCCAGCAGCCTCCGCCTGCTTAACCAGGTGCTCCGCACGGGTCATGTCTTCGTAGGAGGAGTTGGTGCAGCTACCGATAAGACCGGCACCGAATGTCTCAGGCCACTGCTTCTCGCGCACAGTATCGGCAAACTTAGACAGAGGAACGGAGAAATCGGGGGTGAAAGGGCCGTTAATGTGAGGTTCTAGCTCAGACAGGTTGATAGTGATAACCTGGTCGTACTGGGCCTCAGTGTCAGCTCGCAGCAGGTTCTTAGGACCAGAGCCAGCGATCTCTGCCACGGCCTTAGCAACGTGACCACGGTGAGTGGCCTCAAGGTAGGGGACGTGGTTAGGCGAGAAGGGGAAGAGCGAGGTCGTAGCGCCAACCTCAGCACCCATGTTACAGCAGGTGGCCATACCAGTGCAGCTAAGGGTTTCAACACCGGGACCAAAGTACTCAATGATGAAGCCAGTGCCACCACGGACAGTCAGCTTGCCAGCCAGGGACAAGATGATATCCTTAGGCGAAGCCCAGCCGCTAAGCTGGCCCTCCAGACGCACACCAAGGATCTTGGGGGCCTTCAGCTCCCAAGGGGCATCAACCAGCGCATCGACGGCATCGGCACCACCGACACCGATAGCGATAGCACCCAGACCACCACCATTGGGGGTGTGGCTGTCGGTTCCGAGCATCATCAGACCAGGGGCGGCATAGTTCTCCAGAACACTCTGATGAATAATACCAGCACCCGGGGGCCAGAATTCGATTCCATAACGCTTAGCCGCACTCTCCAGGAAGTCGAAAACCTCGGCATTGCCCTTGATCGAAGCCGGCAGATCGGTATCGGCACCACGCTCTCCAACAATCATGTGGTCACAGTGAATACTGGCGGGAACGGCAGTAGAGGGAAGGCCGCAGGACATAAACTGAAGAAGAGCCATCTGAGCAGAGGCATCCTGCATGGCCACACGATCGGGCTTCAGCTTCAGGTTAGCCTGGCCCCGGATATCACGGCCATTGTTGGTGCCGGTGAGCAGGGACTCCTCAGGGTTGGCCAAGTGGGAGTAGAGGATCTTCTCGGCGAGAGTGAGGGAGCGTTCCGAGCCCAGGACCTTGCGAACTTGTTCAAGGTTGCGAACAATCTTAGGGTAGGGCGGCATGCGTGAAGAGGAGGCCTCGGTGGCCAAGCCTCGGGCGAGATGTTGCGGGGACAGGCGTGCGGCGAGCTGGAAATGTGAGTCAGTAGGGTCAATTGGAGGTCAATTTCAGACGAGAGGAGGCCAACTCACCCCGCGAGAGGCCGCGGCCCTGTGCCATAATAACTGGCTCACCATTCTCTCGAGTGTGGAGGGTGGAAACTGGGGAATGGAGTCAGGGAAGTGCCGACGGCTGTTTTTTTTGCGGTCGGCGGTCTCGTTATTTGCGTGGCCTCTGATTGGTCTGTCATCGCGCCGATACCGGGTTTTCCAAAAAGGGTGCAACGAATAGTATAGTTCCAGTGGCAAAATATCGTTTTGTGACTACTTGATTATTGAGAGACAAATCTTAACTATTCGACAAAATCATCTGTATAATTAGGCGCAGGGCTACCTTCCATATGGCTGGCATTGAAGTACTAGTAGCTACTAGTAGCCACTGAAGACACCGAAGACAGACAGCCCTAACGCGGTGGTGCTAAAACTATGAAATTGAAGGTCATCTAATTTTATGTTCTCACACTATATGGCCATGTATTTGATTCAAATAGCCTTTCGGAATGGAACAAAAAGAAATCTTTATTTTATTTGCTTGAGATCTGAAAGTAACGAAGCAAAAGGAAGGGAAAGGGACTTGCAACAACGCTCTGCATAATGCCATTGTCGACTTGCAGAGGAAGCCAGTAGTTCATTGAGAAGAACTCAGAAAATAAGTCCCAGCAGTTGTCGTTGCAAGGTTAATGTTGTCGTTTCTCGCATGCCCTGCAGCAAGTCTCTGAAAACCAATCGAACTCTTTAAGCCAGGCGACAGCCCCTTTGAGCATGTCGCTGTTCGCTAAGCGTGGATTTTGAGCCAGCCTAGAACGCATCTCCTGGGCAAATCTTGACAACTCTATGTATTTCCCAAAAAGCGCTTCTGTAGGCTGGTTATCCCTGAGCAGGGATTTGGGATCTTCAGCCTCCAACCAGAGTTTTCAGATGGAATGTTGTTCATCGACTTCGGGATCTGATGTCCTCTTCCTCTTGCGTGACGAGATCCATTCGATACCACTACCGGGATCTAAAGTGGTCAAAGTTGGAACATCTGGACTGCCCGTGTGAGGTGAATGAGGAGTAGACTTGGATTTGACGGGTATCGAAACTTGAGGATTCTGGCCGGTTTCCTTTTTGAGTATTTTGGGCATGTCCACATTGTCCTTGTTCGAGGTATCAACCGTGATGCTATTAGCCAGAGATTTGCGATCGCGTGACGCCTTGACTACTTTCTCAGAGACATTAGAGATATCAGTGAGAACCGCAGGGAATATCCGTGGTTGGCGTACCGTTATAGACCTTCCAGTATTGGCCATCAAAAGAGTTGGCCAAAGCCCGAGTGCTAGAGGCTTGATTGCTGGTTATGTCCATATCGTACTTTTTCCGGCCATTATTTGTGATGCTATCATTCAGAGATTTGCGGTGGTGTGGCTTCTTTGCTTCTTTATCAGATAGATCAGTAAGAATAGACTTAGTATCATCACAGGACATATCTGTGGTTGGCGTACCGTTACGGATCTTCGAGGATTGGCGATCGAAATGATGAATAGCCCGGTTGCTAGAGGCTTGATTGCTGGAAATGTCCGCATTGTCCTTGTTCAGGGCAACCTCCATGATGCTATCAGCCAGAGACTTGCGAGGGTGTGACTTCTTCAGTTCTTCATCAGAGAGATCAGTAAGACTAGACTCATTGTCATCGCGGGGCATATTCGTGGTTGACGTACTGTTAAGAATCCTCGAGTATTGGCGACCGACAGATGCCTGGCTGCTGGAGTCCTTATTGCTGGACATGGTTGTTTGGATTGTTGGTGGTGAGTTGAAGAGAGTAGTAAGGTGATGTTGTAGTATAAGAACAGAAGTTGCCAAGGGAATGTGTCTTGACCCCAGGTAGCCTGTTTGCCGGTATATTTAAAGGGGTGAAATTTTAACCTGGACTGTAGAGTGCCAGTGCGTTTGTATACACCAAAATGCTTCATTTCTTTATGCAATCAGAAAGAAGATGAAAAGGATACACCTGATATCACTGTGATCTTTTGATGCGATCCTTTTCGTAGGCCAGGGGATTCTTATTGCATGGATCGAGGTTCAAAGTATTCTACAATATATCCAGACATTGTTTTCTATTTGAAGAAGCAGCTTATCCCCTGCGACATACTCGCCGAGGCAGCTAACACACAATTTTGAGATACGGAGACTTAAAAGTCGAGGAATTGGAAGCAAATTCCTTCCGGTTTACAATCTCCTCGAAAAGACAGACAGAAAAGCCCTTTGCAACACAGAGCTACTAATGATAAACAAAATTTGTCGATCAAACCTTAGGGATATAGTTCTAGATTTCCCAAAGTACCTGATCTTGTCCAGCAATACATCCAATGATAAATCTCGACATGCGAGTTTGAAACGCCTTCATTTCAAAACACATAGTACCATCCATGGATAGGAAGGTCTCTCACCATATGTTCTGCTCATACATTCCCCAACTATTTTATTAGCAGCACCAGGTCTAACACTTCCATAAACAAGCCCGATGTGTGGAACTTTCCCATACTCGTATGGGGCGATCGCGATAACAAAGTCGGGTCTCGGTCCGATCTCTTGCAGCTTCCCGATTCGTCGCCATCGCCGATTTTAATCCCAGCGCCCACATGGCACGGTTTTACTCCACATCCGCATTATGAATCTTACCTAGGGCTAGGAGATTAAATATTAGCTTCCCCCGCCTCTTAAATTTAAAGTAATCTTCTTCTTCCCCAAGGTCCAAGGTCCTCCACATCAATTGAATCATGGCTACCGCTGCTGAACTAGGCTCAACTTGTGCCTTCACAACCCGCATTTCGCTCCGATGGGTCCCGGAACCTGCGGAGGAGACGACCGACACAATTGTTCTTTCTGTGGGAGAGTACTATCTTGACCTGCGGATGGATAAGAAGACGGGAGGAATTGACTGGGCCATGGCCGGTACAAACATTGTCGAGAACCCGAATGAAACACCCCGTATGTAATTATTCGCTGGAACGAGAATGATTCAATTCCTCGAAGTCTGAGTTGGCGGATGATACTGACCGAGTGTTGCAGTCAAAATCTCGTTTACACGCGAACTGGACTCTCTGAATGAGATTGGAATGGTCGACGTTGCCAGATTTAGCCCTCTTCCTAATGGCGACGATCTCGAGCAAGGTGAGATGCCTCATCCCGACCTTCCTGGGGCACCTATGACGGCCTTCGAGGAGGTTTGGCGGAATCTGCCATTCAAGGAAGGTCCCGATGGGCCAAAGACGGGCATCTCGTGGATCCTTGAATCGGATGATGAGCATCTTACCAACAGTGAGCAGGAAGGGGAGTTGACTGTGAACAAATTGTTCTTCGGCCGCATTTGGGGAACATACCTGGGATTCCACCAGATTCAAACCCATTCTCGGCAAAAGGGCTCAGATGGAGGGTTGTCTCTCAAGAGAACCGGGTCCGATGTCACTGCTAGAAGGGAAGAGTGGACTGGAGCGGGATGGGAGGAGAAGTATCTGGTGGGGCCTGCTGCCGATGCTGTCCCCTCGATGAAGTCTGGATTCGAGGGAGAAGCCAAGGGTTCTTGGAGGGTACCTGGTGAAAAGGTGACTGTGGATGGGCGGTCTTTCATCGTTCGGGCATTTGAGGAGATCCCATGAAGATCTTCAAAGTTTAATATACTGCATAACTATTCTTAGATCGGGCAGATGTTGGAGGGAATATCATGATATCAAAAGACTAGTAAAATCCAATGGTTTTTGAATGCTTCCTTGAAAATGCACTTGCGTAGTACAGTCATAATTCTACCGAAATTGGTTGTATTTCTACAAATTAAATACGAGTTGTAGCCGAGATAAGGAGTCAATATGTGAACTCTAACACTATACAGGTCGCACATTAATGCATCCCTAGCACAGACCTTTTAGGCTTATTGTACTTGCCCGAATTCCTCTTAGATTGTCCTCGCTTTCCTTGCCAGTGAAACTTAGCCGAGTCCGAGGGAGAAAGATCAGGTCCGTTCAGAGTTGTGTTGTAAGTGGCATCGCTAGGAAGAACCTTGAGAACGACGGTGCTATTGCCCTCCCGGAAGTTACTGGTTGGTGTTCCCTTGGTTTTGTAACTTCCAGTGATGTGCTTTTCACCGGTGGCAAGGTCCTTTCTCAAAATCGCCCTCTCAAACATCTCCAAGGAAGCCAGCGGTTGGTAGAAAGGCACCTCGTGGCCAGACTCGTAAATTCGGACGAAACTATACAGCCCACTCTGTCGAACCTGCCCATGGACAACCCCATCAGAGGTGGTGATGTTGACAAACCCTGCCTTTTTATACCCCGGAGCATTGATTTCGTGGGCAACAACTTGCCCGCCCAACCAGTTGCAGTTGAAATCCCTAAAAGCTCGAATTAGCTCGATCGAGTCAAATATCTCGCTGTATGTAAAACTCACGCATCTCCAAAATACATAACGACCTGCACCCCAGCTTCGAGCAAGCTTCGCACATGCTGAATGGTGCCAGACTCGCGGTCGTCATCGCCTGTGCTTGCAAAGCTATTGCCGACGGTTTGAGACGATTCCGAGAAATTCTGGTACGCTCCGATGGCGGCTTGCACCTTCGGGCTGTTGAGGTAGTCCACATAGAACGAATATGGGAAAGGGTCAGGGGTTAGCTCGCGCATGTCGTACTCATCCCGCCCTGAGTAGATATCAAACATATTCTCGACTTTGGAGGCGCAGAAACTGTCAGCAGTAGAGCAGATGTCATTTCGACCAGTTGCGTAGCATTCGCGAGTCCGGTCGACACAATTTCCTTCTCCGTAAAGGTTGTTATACCATTCTGCCTTGACGGAGGCATTGTATGGGTCAAAATCATAGGTATTTCCGGGGTAGACGGAGAAATTATAGTACGCCTGGTATTGAATCAAGGGGTCAAACCAGCCGTTTCCGATGAGAACGTTCTCGAGATCAATATGGATCGCACCGGGAATTTTCTTCTTATTTTGCTTCACAAAGTAATCTGCCGGGTTGTTAGTGTCACCTTTCGGCTTGGTAGATCAATTGCCCATACCGTTGAATACTGGGCCGTAATGACCACCATAGCTCTCAGTAGTAAAGCTGAATCCGTTCCTGGAGTATTGGGGGAATGCTCCCATGAATCCTTGCAATGTCTTCCACATATTCGGGGCGGCTCCTTGTGTTGAGTTGGGGACTAAGCCAATGTCTGGCTTCGAGTATGTTCCGCATGTTCCGTATTTCTCAGCATACTCGGGACATTCTTTGTCGGGTAGCTGTATGATATTACCGTCCTCATCCTGATATCCAGGTATGGGGATGGTATATGATAATCCAACCGTCGCGGGTTGATCAACAAAGAGCTGGGAATGGTTAATTCTAATCAAACGAAGAGTCTCCTTTCGCAAAACTCACCATGTTTGTCACATTGCTCCATGAATAGGGGTTGTTGTAAGCTGTGCCATTGATGTCAACTCCACACGGCCCCAGCTCCTGGAACAACCCGATCATTGAAGATGATCCCGGTCCTCCGTTGATCCAGACGGTAAGCGGTGCCTGGGACTTGTTAGCATATATAAACTAAAGGCCTGAAAGGGATTGAATGTACCTCTGTCGGATCTCCATTTCTAGCCTCGAAAAACCACCAGAAGATATGCTCATTCTCACCAACATCGGCATAGCCAGAATAGCTTTTAACATTGGGGTCCTGCTCGCAGATTCCAGCGGGCACCTCCTTATATCGCACATTGACACTTGCATGACCCTTCTTTGTGATCAAGTCGGTCGGTGCAGGCACGAATTGTGCTGTTGAGTAGTGCACCAGGGCAGCGAATGCTGCAATCTTGGAGTAAACCCCCATTTTGAACATGAATCGGGGTGTTCAAAGGGAAAGACAACCCCGCTTTGTTGAAATGGTGCCTCAAGGCTATATAGCTTCCTGCATGCCACTAGGATGAATTCGGAAGGTAGGATCCTATCATGACTAAGTTCCCCAATAATTGGCCAATGCAAACAACAAGCCTTTATCTATTAGCTTCTTTCTCAGGAGATGAGCCGTCGGACATCCGGTCCTATCGCCGATCGCAATCACTCACAGCCTAGCTCATGTCTTGTTATGCTCTTCACAACCGGCACAATCTTTAGCCCTATGTATACATGAAACCAGCACTTATTGCCCACGCCATCAACTTCAGTACACATCCACCGCAGTGTAATCGCGAATTAAAGGTTGAGCTCGTTTCTCATATTCGTACTGAGACACCATTACGGAGACTAAGGGACAGGCTGCCTTCATTTTGAGGCCTACCAACTAGTACATTTTATGGGGATAGCAGTAGTAGCAGACCTACCCAGAATGAAGTAGGGTTACAAATTGCAGGGGGAAACTACCCTATCTAAACAAACCATGCGACGAAATATCTAGGTCTTTGGCAGTGACACTGCAGGCTCAATGGTGAAGTAGCTGAATGATGATAGCATTCGATGTCAAATACCATCACAAAAGGGGCCTTTCCATCCAAATCAAACGCCTCTCATGGCAAAAGCCAAAAATAAACTCAAAACATCATTAGGTAGATCCCAAATCATACAACTCATAGAGCGAGCCAAACGTATTTCATCAGTGGCAAGCCCATCCATAATCTCCAAATAGAGTAAAAATATCAATAAGAAAAAAGAAAATATTTCTACTTAAAAGTCCGCCTAAGCTTGTGCATCCTCTTCTGCCACTGCTGCTCGTAGCTCCCAGACCAGATCGTAACATTCGGCAAGCAAAGCGTTCACACTACCTTGGCCTTCAGGGATATCGGGACCAACATAGAACTTTCCGTCAACTCGCATATTATCGATGGAATTGAGCTATGGGATGTAGGTCAGTGACTGAGGCAATACTATGAGACTGGTGGAATCTGCCATACCTTCATGCTGTAGGGGTACAACTCTCTCGAATTTGCCACGCCTCCAGACTCCTTAACCTCGACCAAGCACCGCCGAAGGGTCTGCAACTGGTTATAGACTGGCAACAAGGCCTCCGATACGGGCTCGGATGAAATCAACAGTGCGTAAATGTATGCATAGCTGCGTCGAATCAAATATAGGAGTGTCTAAAATGGAGAAGCGAAGATTAGCAAAATTCACGTATCTCAAATCTGGACGAACATACCCTTTGAGCATGGAGATCGGCAACTTGGCCCTCGCCATCGACGAAGTTGCCATTAACACGCGCCTCGTCAATGCGATCAAGCTTGCGCTGATATCCGAAGAGATCAGTCTCGCGCAAAGACCACGCTTGTGTGACGGAGAGCCTGTCTAGCTGGTTACGAATTTCAAGTAGACGGTCGTATTGCTCCTGGAATCCCTCTTGAATCTTGCCATGTCGTTCGAGAACAATCTCGGTCCACCGCCAGCATCGCTCAATCAAAGATTTGACATCATCTTGACCGGCGAGCGGGTTGCCATCAGCATCAACGAATTTACCGTCTTTTTGAGTCGCTTCGATCTTCTTCAATTGCTCACGCAGATTGTTAACTTCGGTGGATGAGAACTGAAGCCAAAGAATCCAACATTAGCATTGTGGCATTGGAATGGGTTCATTTTGGCCGGCGCATACCTTTGAGCGGGTGTTGACCGCAGATGTGGATCGAAGAATAGAGACCAAAGTCTCGTGTGTCTGGACAAGAGCGGGGTCTAGAGCTGCAAGTCCCTTCTGAAGTCTACTCAGAGAGATCTGGCATTGTTCCAGTCGGCTTTTAAGAAGTTCCAATAGCGCTGGGGAGTATGTGTTCTGGCCGCGTTCCAGAGTCTCGCGCGTGGAGTCGAGGGTCTTGGTAATCGAGTTCAAATCCTTGGAGCTATAGAATCCAGCCTCTTCAAGATGGTCGAGTAGACGCTAATGCGTATTGTTAGCGCGATGAAACAAGGTCGGGATACTTTTGGAGCTCGCTTTACCTGGATAGTGGTTGCCAGCGAGTAGCTAGGGTAGAGAATTAGCTGAAATGAACGGTTGCGACGGATTGGGCGATCTACTCACACTGCTGGTGCCTCATTATTCCTACCGACTGTCAAAAAGAGCAACGAAATCAACTGGAAACAGTCGTCCAGAACATAATCAACTTCCAGCGATCAAAAGTTAGCGATTCATCCAGCGTGATCATCCCACCGCTCACCCGGTACTCACGTCGATTATGTGTCAAGCGGCGGTCTTGCTCTTTGCGGGAAGCATTGAGCTTTTCCACTTCTTGGGTCACTTCCTCATAAAGCGGAAGGACATCGCGGGATTTAATGTAGGAAGACTTGTCTTGTTTCAGGAGGAGGAGAGCATCGCGAGTTCGGAGGAGGCGTTCGAGGATGGACTGCTCCCGCGGATCCAGCGGGACCGGGACTGCGGGGGGAATCCATGACCGGGTGCGCAGAGCAGGTTGAGGAGAAAAGAGATGGGAGGGGAGGATTCGTAGACAGTTAGAGGGAGATAGTAATCAGAGCACAGAAGATAGGCGCACTTTCTCAAACCCCACACGATATGGTTCCAAATGAAATGGGAAGTGATGTCAGTTCCCTAGGATCCAGATCGATTGGGTTGATGGTTATCGCGCAGCCGATACGGGCTGACTACTCCGCCGGTTAGTCAGCAGCACCGCATTGGGACTAGTGAAAGAGTCACGGGATGGGCTACACGCTAGACCCGATTCGTCCATAGCCCTAAGCGAGGGCTTGTCCCACACACGGCCGCGGATAGGCTTTCGATACACTTCTCGTGCTTCCTCCTCCCATCTTCAGTCTTCAACCCACGTCAACACCCACCCGTCGACATGTCTAACGCTGAGCTCGCCTGCTCCTACGCCGCTCTCATCCTGGCCGATGAGGGCATTGAGGTCACCGTACGTTCTCACTCTGGATTCGACATCGCCGAGGATTGAAACAGGACGCGCATTTGTGATTTTGCCTGTCGAGAACTTTGGATCGCGAGGGAGCAACACAAATTGCAGCGCACTTTTTCAACCCTGGACGACACGAAATTATGCAAATCATGAAATCGACATCCAGCTAATTCCATTATCTTCATACAGGCCGACAAGCTCCAGACCCTCATTGGTGCCGCCAAGGTTCCTGAGATCGAGCCCATCTGGGCCTCCATCTTCGCCAAGGTAAATATCTGACACCCGCCACTTCGCCTGCACCGAACCATCGCACCCCCAATCGCATTCCCGTGAATCCCGATTTCATACGAAACCCGACATAATCTCGAGACAAAAGTGACTTACAAATTTCAACCCATAGGCTCTTGAGGGCAAGGACATCAAGGAGCTCCTGACCAACGTCGGCTCCGGTGGCCCCGCTGCCGGTGGTGCCGCCGCCGCTGCTGGTGGTGCCGCTGCCCCCGCCGAGGCTGCTGCCGAGGAGAAGGTTGAGGGTAAGTTTTTGTGATCCGATTCTACGTCTCGAAGCCAAATACTGACCCCCACTACAGAGAAGGAGGAGTCCGATGATGACATGGGATTCGGTCTGTTCGACTAAGCGTTTACGCCAACCTGAAGAATATGAAGACCTTTCCTTTTTGCTCTTTTTCCAACCTCTTATCCCGCTGCCGCATGTCGGCTACCTCAATGAACATCTCTTGTACTCGATACTCCACGACCCCTTCAATGAAGACCTAGATCACGGGTACTCAAAAAAAGAAAATAGCAAAAGATTCAAACGGCCAGGATATTCAATGGAGACTGGGTGCTCGGTGTACCTCTGAATCGATTTGTGCCAGAGGTGGACTGGATCGGATACCGCTGTGACTCCGAAACTATTGTTGCCTCCAGGATTTTAGGGGAATTGAAGAATGACGTTTGGCACACCTTTTCCTGATTCGATATTGCCCTTGTACGCGACAACCCGGTAGTGGATGTAGGATGGTTCTCGCCACGTACGATTGAACCAACGAACCTCTCCAATGATCTACCTGCTCTTGAGGTAGTACTTGGTAGAAATTCTTAGACATGGGGTCACGTAGTTTATAGTTATTCGCCTTGAAACGTCATGACGCTACACGAGATGATCTTCCAAGTTTACGAGTACCACTGGCTAGCATTCAAGTATAGTACATGGTATACTCTAGTATGGGGGCCGGCAAATGGATACCTCCGAGTCTATTATTACAATACCCACTCCTAGACTTCACCATGAAGACCCGCTGCTCGAATAGCCACAAGCGTTTCCCTAAATAGGAGTGGAGCTATCATGAACTTGTACATTGCTCTCCCCATGCTCAAGTCATATAACTAGGGCAGAAGGTATCCACATATTGAAATAAGTTCAATTGTTCATTGAGAATTCCGCTCTTCTATAAATTGAGCTTTCCAAAATCAAACACCATGCTCGCCTTTTGCCATTACAAAGTCCAACCACCCCATGCAAAAAGTCAGTGAAACGCAACAAAGTTTTGAAGCAACATATCAGTCGTATATACAAAAGGAAAAGCAAACTTCTTGCAAGCGAGAGCAACATCCAAACAGTAATCAATTATGCCACCGCGGAAGGGCGATCATTCTGAACAGCGTAGATGCGGAACTGGATGAAGATAATGACATCTTCCGCCATCGTGCCCAGAGATCCAATCAGCCACGGAAGATTAGTGATAACGTACTCCCGTTCGGTGGAGTGGCACAAGATACCGGCACCGTAGGTAAGATTACCCAAGAGGGAAAGAATGAAGAACAGAAGAGACAGTCCTTCGCAGGACTTGTCGCTATAATTCTTATAGATCTGAGGCAATCTCGCACTGTCGAATGGGTTAGTCTAGGTCCACATAGCAGGGGAAAAAAAAGGAAGAAAAACACTCACCCCAAGTAGCAGATCGCGCTGAAATAGCCTAACACTTGCCCACCAGCAGCTTCTCCATTGTCATTATGACTCTCCAGCGGCGCCGGCGCCCACATGCCAGTCTGCCAAGCCATTGTCCACCCCGCCATACCAACCAGAAAGATCACCAGAACACCAGCGAGGTTCTTAACCCACGCCTTGCGTCCATACTCGTTCTCCTCAACAATCTTCGCGAGCGGGTCTTCAGTCTGACTTTCGCGCCGACCAGCGGCATTTTGGTAACCACGCAGTGAACCCGACGACCGTCGTCGCGACTGTGTCGGCGGGATGGTGTCGCTGAACCGGCGACCCAGGAGCGGGGTGGTAGGGTCGGGGGTCTCGACAGATGAGCGTCGGCGCTGGTGGGACTCGGGGCGCGAGTTACGCGCCTTGTAGTACAAACATTGGGCAATGAGGACACCATCCGCAATGCAGAAATACACGGCAATGGCGACAATGACGGGGACTAGACCTGCTAGAAGCCCGCCGAAGAGGTTGGCAATGTCGCCGACAAACCAGACGAGGATAAAGAGGAAGGAGATAGCTTCGGCATTGCCGTTGCGGTAGTTCTCGATGAGTTGCGGGACCTGGTTTCGGGTGTGGTTAGCTATTTTCTTGGGCGTCTGCGTTTTTTGCGAGTCTTATGCGTCCCATTATGACGCTGCTCGACGGAGAGGAGGGGATAGAGCGATCTTGAGTGTAGGACTGTGTCATACCAGTAGGAAGATCCAGCAGGTCATCGAGACCGAGCCCAGCAGTCCGGAGGCAGCCTCTCGGGGCGTGAGAGAGATCGTGTCTTCTGCAGCCATCCGGCTGAGTATTTGCGACAAAGCCATAATGTGCGATGTACGGCACCAGAGAGGATTTTGCGTGGTGCTTTAAATGTGGGCGGAGCTGAGGAGAAAAAAATTGCGACTGAGCTATGACACAATCGATTTTCAGGTGACTCCTCAGTGGGCCGGGGGAACCTCGGGGGGTGCAAATACAAACAATGACGGATAAAGGTCAAGTATAGTAGAGTATCGATGGGCGCAACTTGAGAATATTCATTGAGACACCATCTATACCACGAATGACCTTTTGAGAAAAAAAAAGAAAGATCTTCCTCAAGTAACTCAAAAAACCAGAAAAAATATGAAACAGCATGTGGATGAGTCAGCTGTCACTGCAACGCACGGACAATCTGCGGCGTCCCGTGCCTGCGTGAGATATTTTGTACTACTTTAAAGTACTTCTTATTGGTTGAATGGTAGCGATAACAACTATGTACAGCAATCGGGATTGGTAGCGCATGCTCAGCTTATCTCTGTCTCTTGACTGAGAAGTAGAACGAAAACTACCTCCCTCAAAGACCAGTGACTATGATGCATTCTACGAATTACCGATCCGCTTACTTCAAGCCTTAGGGCAGACATGGGAAGCAAATAATGTTCTACGAGTTGAAATGGCGTAGAGCGAGCTAATATGTTAGACTCTGTTTACATTCCTAACTATTTGGTAGGCACTAACACTGAATTCCATTCGATTGAGCACCAGGTCTTTAGCTAATGGTCACAAACCGCAGAATCGACATCAGTGAAAAATTTGCATGTGTGACCATTTTCCAAACACTGTCAAATATTAGCATCAAAGGTTCATCCACATAGTATAGTCATGAGAGATATGTTTTTACCGGGAATTGTCGATTGCAGGGAGCAGCTAGTGCGTGACGATTTGAGTCGACCCCAGTGCACAATTGACTGGCTTTAAGACATGTCTAAAGAGATTCAATAAATAATATTTCTACTCCAGGAAATGAAAGCATGGCATATAACTTCCAAGAAGAAGGGCAAAACTTACCCCAACGATACAGCCACACCCCGACGGCTGAGCCAGGCCTTCGAGGGTTCCAACGTCCTCAACAGGACTCGGAAAGGCTGTGGCTGCACTAGTACTAGTAAGTGCAGCGAAAAGAAAAGTCAAAATCTTCAAGTTCATACTCGATAATATAGAAAGGATCTTGGTAAGTTAGTACAATGAAAACTAGCGACCTTGCGGAAGATATATGTCCCTATATACACAGGACTCTGTCCGTTAGGTGGGGCTTTCCTGTCTGGGCTGCTGCTACTTTAATCGGGGTGATCAGGCTCAGTGTAACAGCAAATTCCTACAGAGCTCACATGCTAACTATTTCTGATAGACTAAAAGGACCAAAATATATTCCGGTAATAAATGGCGTTTATCATGAAATGGAGAGAAAGGGAAGAAGTGACAGTGTGAGGATGCTCAGACACTCAAACATCAGGATACGATATGGCGACCAGGCAATGAAGTAGTAGCGTTTCGACGAAAGTAATAGCCCGAGGAAGAAGAGAAAGCAGACACGAAAGCTAGATACATGTAACTAGGTGTGGATGCCTAAGTTGATGCCATCCATGTAAGGCATCAACTATGATAACAACCTAGTCCGTTACAGACAGCGATTTCTCAGTCAAAGAATAGATACAAGATTTTAGTTTTTCTGTGAAGACGGGTATCATGAGTAATCGTAATATTACCTTCCGTTTCTAAGTAAATCGACGCCTACTTCTTGAGGCATAAGTAAGGCATTATCCGGCCCTCCCGGCATCACATGATAACTTTATATCATCATTACGTCCACCTCAAAGACCGTTATTAAGTTTCAAATAGTTAACAATTCATTATCCTAATGTTGCGGCTCTATCAAACATGAGATACACATCATGGAGTCTCCCAAATCGGCATCGATGTGGAAGAAAATCCAAACGAAGCTGGGACTGAACATCCCCATCTTGCTGTTGATGTTCAAGTATGCTTTTCCCAGAGCTTGGTTCTCACCACTAATGAGATCCCTCTTCATTCCATATAGTCCAATTCTAAACTGACAGGTATTAACTACAGAGGCGCGATTGCACCGACAATTGGACTCTCAATGTACATTCACTCTCTCCAGTGAGGCTAGTAAATTGTACTGACGCTCTGCAGATATCAGAGCGACGCTGTGGCACGACAATTTTCTACCATCGGCTATCTCATCCCCATAATGTCGATTCTCACGATTCCAGTCGCTCCACGAGCCCGATTCTTTCAAAATCTTATAGTGTCCACGGTATGAACCTGTAACTCACGTATAACCTATCTGTGCTAACTTTCTTTTTAGCTGTCGGTTGGTTTCGCAGTCGCATTGTCTTTCTTATCAATGTGGTGTGCCGTCCGGGCTCGCGCAAATACCACCCATATACCCCAGGGAGCCAACAGTGCTGGCCCGGTTGCTGGTGCTCATGTTAGCCCTTATAACGCCGCTGCGAGTGTTAACATGGCAATATGGTTGGCATTCGAAGTGTGGTTGGCAAATACGTATGTCTGTTAGTCAAACTCCCTGTTATATGCTCCCAAGATTGACGGATGGAGTAGATTCCGTGCTTTTCGACCGCAATACTTCATTCCGTCCATAATATTTTCCATTTTTATCCAGGTGACGGCGACCTATGGAACTCAGTTCGAAACGTTGGATGAAGCTGGATCATTAAGTAAAATTTCCCCATCTGCAATCGTAGCCCTATATACTTGCTAATTACAAGATTCTTCTCCAGTCAAACACTTGGTGGGAACATTTTTTTTCGGGATTTGGGCTAGCAGCAGCGGTCAATGTGTTAATTATTCCACTCACATCTCGAAAGCTTGTCAGCATGCACATGATGGCGAATTTCGATGCGATTCAGAGAACATTGGATGCCCAACGTGAATTTGCGCAAGCCTTATGCTCGCGTGACTGGGGTTTTGTCCATGGTGACCCAGACGCCTCCCAACAGGAGCAATCACCTTCATGGCCAGAAGCAAACACTCTAAAAAGTGCAACAATGGAAACTACCAGAACACTTGGAAGGATAACATCGGAATTGCGCTACGCCAAACGCGAGGTTGATTGGGATTACCTAGGGCCCAAAGATCTAGCGAACATCACTCGCCTATTGAAGAAGGTATTGGCCTCAATGGTGTGGATGGAGTCACTTGTCGAAGTCTCCAGACGTATCCCTCGTTTAGTGAGCGAGATGGCGAACATCTCTCGTGAAGAGGAACAGCAGAAATTGTGTTGGGTATTTGAGCAAAGGCGCCGCCCCACTGAACAACTCATCCAAGCCATGAAGGAAGGTCTCGACCACTCCGTGCACATTCTTCGCCTCGGCAAAGCGCGAGCGGTATCTGAATCGGACATTGAAGCCAATAGGGATCATGCGAGCTCACACTTGGAAGATATGATTGAACGTTTCCTTCAGGGAAGGGAGGATCCATTAGGGACCTGGCTTTCATGGACGGGAATAGATCAATCTTCTGAAACACCTACGGGGGTAAATTCTCAGCAACGCGAACGGTATCAATTTCAGCTCTTCTTTCTCCTTGATGTAGGATTCTCCTAGCCCCTGAGTTGAAAATGCATACCCTGACTTTTATTGTAGATGGAATCTTCGCTCATTTCGACCGCGAGAAGAATCCTAGACCTGATCAAATACGCGGGTTCAAAGGTGGACGATGGTACCATGGGTAAAAAGAGACTGGTGCACCCAACATGGAAGCTGATAAAAAAATGGTTCTGGGCCGCATTGTCTAGGGAGGATCAAGAATTGGATTATTATCAGTACAGCAGAAGATCCGGAACTGTCAGGATATACCTGAACGATGTCATACAGACTGGTACAGACCCAGAACATCTTCTCCCCAAAAGCACGTGGGAGAAGATTGGTGATAACTTCCGGAGAGGCTATCACTTCTTTGGTTCGCCTGAATCCGTGTTCGGCTTCCGAGTAGCCGTGGCTACCATGACTGTTTCACTCGTTGCCTTTCTCAGAAACTCGCAACACTTTTACATCCAGCAACGTCTCATCTGGGGTTCGATAATGATTGCAATTAGCATGGCATCGACCGTTGGATCAGCTATGTATGGTCAATCAATGCGGCTCCTTGCGACATTTATTGGAATGGTGTTGTCGTATATTGACTGGTACATAGTCGATCAACAGCCAGCAGGCGTCCTTGTCTTCGTTGGGATCACAATGTTCTTGTCTCACTACCCATTAATTAGGTTTCCCGCTCATGCTGTGCCGCCTATCGTCGAAATGGTCACAGTTATGTTAATTGTGGGCTATGCACTCCAGGTGAAGAAAGTGGGGGTCACCGTCTCCGAGTCCAACGAGCAAGAATATCACGCTCTATACGTACTGTCGCCTTATCGACTCGCTACTGTTGTCGGTGGCATCGGGGTTGCTTTTATTTTCACATATTTTCCCTCTGCAGCCACGGTCAAAAGCTGCTTCCGACGAGATCTTGCCACTTTTCTGTATCTTCTCGCACATTACTACAGCTCTGTGTACACGACGAACTCTTTAGTAGTCAGAGGCTTGGCTGGGGATTATAGCGACAAGAAGAGTCTCGGGAGAGTCCTTGAAAAAGCTCGTACTCGTGTGCTTGCCAAGGAAATCGTCCTCCTACAGGCAATGGAAGAGCACAAGTGGTTCTTTCGCTGGGAACCTACTACTGGGGGCAAATTCCCCAGGGATGCTTACGATAAATTGGCCGAGCATGCGCGAAAGTAAGTTCGCTCCTTACCCGTTTCAATCATTGCGAACACTGATATATTGTATTCCTAGCATACTTCAATTCTCGGCAACACTAATCGAAATCGCGGACTCATTCCATCTCACCGGATCAATGTCCTCAGAACCGTGGGTAGAAGACATCAGACGGCTCATAACTTCCTTGGACTTGAGCTCCCACGAAGTGACATATCTTCTCACGACACTATCAGGCGCCATCAAAACCGGGAGCCCATTGCCTCTTTATCTTAAGGCGCCCAAAATTCGTCTGCCTACCGAGCTGCTTGCTGCTGCTGCTCCCGACGCGAGCATCTTTAAAGTAGAAAATTTCAGCCAGCCGGCGTTTTCAGCGATTGCTTCGATGGAGATCACAATGATGGCCCTGGAAGAAGATCTATCTCAATTATTATCCGGGACGAAACATATTGTGGGAGAGTTGAACTTGTTGACAGACATTGTCCGCAGGAAAGACTTACCTGCTAATATGGATTCAATAATGGGAATGGATAAAAGAGATTGAGATTTGTATCTTGGCTGATATGGCAAAATATACTATTTTCACAACCTTCGAAAGCTTCGAGTTTTAATGTATTGCCGATAAGTAGTAGAAACAAGGACATGATACTGCACTAAGTAAATGTGTTCACCGACAATTGTTCTGGTCTTGCGGTTGAAAAGAGAGGGTTACTGTTTAGACATTTGTTGGGATCGACTGCAACTGACAACTTGGAATGATCAAAACATCAGTTTGAGAGTTTGTGTACTGGTAGATTATGATACGTGCAGAAATTATGCAGGAAAGATGCAGGTCCGAATGGCCATCAAAATTTCTTGGTTGTTCCAATATAGTGTTATTTTGGAGATTCTAAAAAGCTACTAAATATCGCTGCTTTCAGAATGAGCCTCATCATCCATAATCGACAGCTCATCCTCGAGCATGCTGACCGCAAATTCACCAATAATATCCTGGATTGGCCCATGTAGCAACCTTTGACGAGAAGACTCAGGTTGAATTTCCTGGAGGGCCTCCAGGTAATCCGTGAGCGGAGCATAGTCCAACACGTCGCCCCAGTTTCCTCGATCAACACCATATTGATGCAGGAACATCTGTACAGACTCCAATCCGTCCTGTAGCAGCCACTGCTCCAGCACCTGTTGGTCGCCCTGTAGGGGACGAACTCGAGCGTCTTGGTGAGCACCAGCACCTTCTTCATCACCCTCACCCTCGCCAGCTTCTTCCCCGCCTTGGAAACGAGGGAAATGAATACCACCATCATTCATTTGGTTCAACAGATCGCGTAGCCACTGGGGCCTGTTACCCTCTGGCATCCGCGCGAGGTATGACGGTGTGGGATCTGCTTGCTGGCGATATGCCTCTGATTCGTAAGGAGGTAGAGGGTCCGAAGAAGAGAGTCGTCCAGAGACAAAGCGGTTGGGTAGGTGGGTTGTCACACTAGGAACGTCTGACAAGATCACATGACGGGCAATATCCAGAGTGATTTCTGGGGGCTCGATAGGCTCTGGCTCCCCGGAGATGGTGTCGGCAATTTCTATGATAAGTGAAATAGCCTCGGGAGTGTTCCAAAGATCCTTGGCTCGCGTAATGTAAAGTTCGGTAAGGAGTTCGTGTGATGCGGTTGGAGGCATCTTACCCCAGATCTGTTTGGGGACATGCCGTATGTCCAACTCCTGTGCCAACCTGCTAAAGATCCAGGGGTAGCGAGACATGGCGTGGGAAAGCTGTCGGCGACACTCTTGTGGTTTGTTCAGACGTAAATAAGCCATCACCAATGAGCACTGAATATTAGGGAGGTCGGCCCAGTCACGACTGAATCGAGTCTGGGTGCACAGATCCACAAACTGCGCATACTCTCTCCCTCGCAAGGCAAGGTGATCAATCAGTAGCCGCATGCAATACGGGTCGGAGTCGTTGAGACTCAGCAACAGCTTTGACCATTCATAAGCAGTCCTCCAAGTACCCTTCATGCCCAGGTTGGCGATATATCTCCATCCAACCAGCCACAGCTCACGGTTCTCCGTCTCCCAGAAGTCAAGCCTTGCTTGGCCGTCCTTGAGTCGAGTCCCAAAAGAAGAGTGAGCCGAGCGACCAATGTTAAAGAGCGCTCTCTCCAAGAGATCAGCAGAAACAGCATGGTCACCCTGGTGCTTGGCAACTTCCGAAACCTGGAGAAGAGTGGATATATGATAGGGGTTGTATTGAAGATGCGAAATCAGTCGTTGGGGGTCCATCGACTCGACGCAGAGTTCAAACTGTCTTTGCACATCTTCGTAGCCCGAGTTGTGCACGATGCGATAAAGGAAATCTCCCGAAGGAAGCTTCTCGGCATTGACCATACCTAAGCCCCCACTCGGAGCTCGTGGCCACTCATCCTTGCCTTGCATCAGAACATTCCGTCGCAGTGTAACTCCAGCCAAACTCTGTCCTCGACTGGCCGGGGAGTATCGTCCTGACAGCGCCTGGCTAAGATCGATCGTTTCCCGGTTGCGATCCCGGCGACGGCCAGTTTCGGCTGGCTGGTCAAAGTTTTCTAGTACCACATTACCGAAGAGTCGTCGCATTTCATTCGTAGCGTTTAGGAATTTGGACTCAACGCCGAGGAGTTCATCTGTGGTCTTTGGGAACAAGTCGGTCCGCCCTTCCTTCGTAGAGACTGACAGAGCTGTGTTCGAGGGATCTTCGCCAGTAGATAGATCCTTCAACGCACGATCAATCTCGTCCAAGTCCGTGCCTTTCTTGCTTTGTTGTTTAGGCTCTGGTGGCGACTTGCCCTTCTTGCCCTTCTTTTTCTTTTTCTTGCTGGCACTCTTGGGTTTTGCGGGTGCGGACTCAGGTTCAACATCTGGGTTTGGCGCCTCCTTCACTTCTTCTTCTCCCTCTTGTGCCTCCTCAGGCTCGATATCACCATTTTCATCTTCATTGTCATCGTCATTGTCATTGTCATTGTCATCATCGCCGGCATTCAAAAGATCGAAGGCGTTGAATTTGGGTTTCGCGGGGCGTCGAGGCTCATCGTCGCTTGACTCATCCTGCTGCTCGGATTCCTGCAGCTGTTCCAGCTCACGCTGCTTCTGCAACTTGCGAATCGCACGGGAGGACATCTGTAAAAGGCCGTCCTGGCACTATGAAAGAAAGTGAAAAGCACCGTAGCGACTGGACAGAATAACAAAAAAAAGACAGAAACCGCGGGGAATGACGACACACTCCGAATCCAATCGGGTTAGCCCCGACCACTGATATTCCCCCGCACGTGACCCTTTATCACCAACCCGCCTGCTCTGTACCTTCAGGTACACTTCCCCGTATCTCTTGAAGTTTGGGACTTACCGTGCAAAAGGCATTTCGAACATATTCCAGCATCGCTGGCATATTTCACAGTCAAGCGATAACTTGATCCAATGAGTCGGGTGGCTGCTCACGCGTCCCGTGCGGTTCGACGTGCCCCAGTATGGAAAGTCGCCGGTAAACGGCCGAGTGCGCTATCCATCTGCAACAGCTCAGTGCAAAACTTGAGACACTATTCCGGCGGTCGACGTCCTTCCTTTCTTCCGGCAGCACTCCAAACCTCGATGCATCTCCGAAACTTCTCGGTCGCCGTTATCTCCACCGCTGTCGCCTCCGGAGCGTGGTACGCCTATAACGGGGACGCCAAAGTCCAATCCCTCGCAACCCATATTCGTGGATTCGCCTCAAGTGCAATCAATTCCGCCCACGCCGAAGACCCATCGGATACCACGCGCCGAGCTTTATTGGTGAGCAACGATCAGTTTTATACGGCTACGCTTTCGGGAGACCAGCCTCTAGCGAAGACGACCGACGACTCGGATCGACGTGTCCTAAACATGTTGACCCCGGAGCAGGCTACCGAGAAATTGCGAAAGAACGAAGAATCATACCTAGTCAACAGAGGGAAAGGAGTCGTCCGATATGATATCGTCCAGGTTCCTAGCAACTCCCCAATCGAGGACGACCACGCGGAGATGATTGTCGAGGTGCCATCAGACGTGGCAGGAAATACAAATGGCGACCCCAACAGTGATTGGAATTTCTGGGCAGTCTTTGACGGCCATTCGTTAGTGTTTCAGGTGGCTCTAGTGACATGGGTTGAATACTAATCGGAACACAGGGGCTGGACAACATCTGCCAAACTACGAAACGTCCTCATCTCATACGTCGCCCGCGAACTCAATGCTACCTACAAGGCTGCCGCCGCCGATCCCTCAGTATTGATTCCTACATCCGAGGCCGTGGATGCTGCTATCAAGCTGGGCTTCGTTCGTCTCGATGACGATATCGTCAACGCGAGCGTGGACAAAGTCCTCAAGGCGAAGTCTCGTCGTGTGGCTGCTGAACTTCTCGCTCCCGCCCTCTCGGGATCATGCGCTCTTCTTAGCTTCTACGACTCCCATTCTAAGGACTTGAAGGTTGCAGTTGCAGGTGATTCGCGCGTGGTCCTCGGCCGTCGTGGTCCCAGTGGGAAGTGGACTGCCAGGGCTCTGTCCGAGGACCAGACTGGTGGCACACCCTCCGAGATCAAGCGTCTGCGTGAAGAACACCCTGGAGAACCATATGTCACTCGTAATGGTCGTATCCTAGGTCAACTAGAACCTAGCCGTTCATTTGGTGATGCTACCTATAAGTGGACCAAAGATATTCAAGATAAGATCAAGCAGCAGTTTTTCGGCCGCACTCCCTCCCCCCACCTGAAGACTCCCCCCCCTATGTTACCGCTGAGCCTATCATCACTACCACCAAGATCGATCCTTCGCAAGGCGACTTCATCGTCATGGCTACGGACGGTCTTTGGGAGATGCTGAGTAACGAGGAGGTCGTTGGCTTGGTCGGTTCATGGTTGGAACAACAGCAGTCCGGCAACGGTGGCAGCAAGGCTTGGCTGCAGAGCTGGTTCGGGTTTGACCAGAAGAAGCTCCCCGTGGAGGCAACCAACGATGCCTCTGGCGAGGGCCAGCGCCGTCCTATCCGCCAGCAGCAATATGACATCTCCGGTGCGGAGAGCCGGTTTGTTGTCGAGGACAAGAACGCAGCCACTCACCTTGTCCGTAATGCCATGGGAGGCAAGGACAAGGACATGGTCTCTGCACTTCTGACCTTGCCCAGCCCCTACTCTCGTCGTTATCGGTACGTTGACCAAATTGTTTCGTTCTTAGCATTTCACGACTAACATGGATTTGCAGTGACGATGTGACCGTCGAGGTCATTTTCTTTGGCCAAGGCCCCGACTCTCGCACCGTTGAGGTTAACAAGGAGGCCAGCGCTGCAGAAGAAACTCCGAAATCGAAGCTTTAGGTACGCTAACGATTGTGTTTTTTGCCTCTCGAGACTTGATCTTGAACGCCTGGATGGCGATTTGCTTTTTCATCCACAATTGATCATTTCGACCCTATCCTCTAGACAAAGTGGTGGTTGGGGAGGCTTGTGTCATTTTTGCTTTGATACTCGCATATGTAAATACCAGCGCCATCTTCTATAATTATCTTGAAGCTTTCATATTTCATATTTCCTTCTAAAGATGCGCAACCGACAGTATGGACAGCTACCGATTTGTCCATAGCTGCCAGTGGTAGTTATTAGTAGGGAAAAGATATAAAAATCCACTTGGAGTTCTCTCGGTTTTTACTTTCTTCACCTACTCAGATACTACTAGTATGGCTTGAGGGCGTCAATTTTGTGAGAATATTTTCCTACAACGGCAATACTGTCAGCGGCGAGCGCAAAAAGAAACTGGTAGCTCTAGCCTATGGTGACGGCACGAATTACACTACTACAGTACCAGAATAAGCCAAGGACTCCATGCGAGCCCTATACTACTAGTAGTATTTTAAAATCAGCTGTCAGCCGAAATTTAGCTTATCATTAGCTGTCGCTTCAATATCAGTTAGCCTAAGCCAGGAACGCCAGGCACCGATAGGCAGCATCGTCGAAAAACAAGCCTTTGCCGATTTGCCGCGGCCGACCCCACAACACGGTTCGTGTTGATTGATCGATCGTCCCAGGTGTTGGGCTCGGCTCCCATTCCCTCGATAGTGGATCATTTCGGAAAAGGGAAAAACGTCTCTCAGGGTTTATAAGAAGGCCAGGTCGTCGCATTGAACATCTCAAAATCCATCACCTGTCCGAATATGCCTCAGCTACCATACTGGCAACTTCCAGAATTCTCGCGGGATCGGAGCGAGGAGCAGCCGCTAACATGGAGGGTGGCCTTTTTGCTTCCGTTGGAAGACACAGAACGGGATCTGTTCATGAAGAGACTTGTCGTTGTCGACAACTTGGAGAACTGGCCTGATCGACCTGTCGCGCAGCCTCGCCGTCTTCTAGATGTCCCCTGGCTATTTGATTTCACACCCGATTCGTCTATTATCAGCGCCATCTTTGAGCAAGGCGGGAATGAGCCGCTCATTATCATTGATGAACAATCGAAGATGGATGACACGGCAATCCTGTTGTATCGCAGTGAGGGTCAGGATGACCATCGCATTTTGCGCGCACCCATCAATAGAGCAAACCTACTGCTCAGTGCTGCAGCGGAAGGGACGATTGATTTGAAGGGTGAAGACTTTCAGCCATTGGGCTATGATACTCCAGCTATTATGGTGAGTATGCATGCAAGATACTGAATTCTGGCTAGAGTCTAACTTCAATATAGAAACAAGGAAAACAAAATGTGCAAGAACTATGGCCTGTCTTTGTCATAGAAGCCATGACTCCCGAGGAATTCGAAAGACTCAGGAGCTACGCCGAGGAGAGAATGGTCGATCAATATGAATACAGCGAGTGGTTCCATGTAGCTGAAAAACTCGAGTCACCGGATATGAAAGGCCTTCTAGCATGGTTTGAGTCTCCGGACTTTGATTTTGACCATCCTCCCCCGTTCTTCCTCGCTGTGGACCGCTGGAGCTTAGAAGTTGCGGATGATGAGGAGCCAATCACTGATCTCTGGGCTGAGTGCATAGTTGCCTCAGAAGGTGGTGAGGGATATTATTTGACAGATGATAAGGAGGATCGTTACGCATCTTGGCACGCTGGATACGGATCTGATCGTATGGATTTTGAGGATGCTATTATTATTTGCATGAATTTGGAGCAGCGCAATAGGTCCTTCGTGGAATTGTTTCACGGTGCGGAATATGACCACTGGAAAGCATTGCATTCATGGGCGGATGGAACCCCTCGATTTGGGGGGTTCGAATGCCCAGAAGGAAGGGCATATTGGCCTAGCGAGGAATGGGATAGCTAAACACTTTTCCGTGACTCTTTCTCTTTATCGATTCCCTTCCACCTGTCGCTTTTCGTTCGAAAGGCGTCAACGAGGAATAAATCTAGCACCTGTATAACAAGTAATCTTCTATGCCCCCAATTTTTTACCATCGTTATTGCCACGAACTTTCTATAATATGCTCAGGCTGGCTTCGGTGTTCTCGGGCGGGATAAGAAAATGAGCGAGTTAATGCACCCTCAAATGAGTGATTATTGCTATGAATATGGATGTACAGAAGTTAGATCTCCGACGATACTTGAAAAGAAGATCCAGCAGCCCGTTGCTTGAGTGACAAGTGGTTACCTCTGTCATTCACTATTTCGGAACACATCTTGGCCCTCATTTTTAATTTCTGTAGTGCTTTAATTGGAAACTCTGGCAGATAATTTTGAGTATTGGTATTCACCTTCCATTAAGCCCTCCGTCCTCAATCCTCAGTCAGCCGGGCCTGTGTTTATCTTTCAATAGATGATTACAAGTTTGCCCATTATCAAGATGCATAAGCTTTTATTTTCTCACCTGCATGGCATACAGACATAGCTGTGAAACATGATATAAAGGGTTCTACCTAGTTCAATGCTGATAAATAGTTAACCAATGCGACTAGATGCAAGATTTCAATAGTCAATTCGAGACCATTTATTGTACAACCAAGGTCTAATTGACGTCGATTCTCTCTCTCCTTGCTTGAATAGCTCCCTTTCATTGGATCATCTGGTTCTCAATAAACCACGCAGTCTCGTACCTCCTTATCTTACGCATGTCAGAATGGGGGGGGCGCTGAGAGTTTGGGGTGCGGGCGTGGTATAAGTATTCTGATTTCCCTGCCGCTTGCTTCTCAGCTTTGGTCTATCTATCCTTGCTCGCCACTGGTATATTTAATTATCCTAAACCTGAATTTAATGATGAGTCTACAAGATGTAAGTCCCCTTTTGCCTCCTTGGGGAGATGACTGGACAAAGTGAGATATGCACTTACAGGATTCCGCTAACCATAACGGCCAGACTCTAGACGATCGAGTGGAGAAGCTAATCGGCTTCATTTAGAATCATGAAGATCTCGAAAAGGCCCGAGGGAACCCACACAAGGTTCTCGCCCTCGTGGACGAGTTCGCAAACCAGAATGCCATGATGATAGTTGGCGGGCCTAAAGGCGGGATTGTCACAGAATTGATCAAGGAACAGCAGCCGAAGATTATGATCGAGATGGGTTGCTACTTTGGTTATTCCGCCATCCTCTTCGGCGACGCAGCTCGTCAGAATGGAGGAGAATGCTACCATAGCCTGGAACTCAACCCAGATTGGGCCGCAGCTGCGAGACAGCTCATCGAGCTAGCGGGATTGCAAGACTTTGTAGAGGTGATTGTCCGCCGCAGAGATGTGATCCTAGATAAATTCTACAGGGATGGCAAGATCACCAATATCGAGATTCTGTTCATCTACCACTTGAAGCCTGCCTATCTGACCGACGTGAAGCTGTGTGAGCACCACGGCATGATTGTGCCTGGCTCCTTGCTCCTTGCAGACAATGTCATTTATCCGGGTAGCCCACCATACTTGAATATGTTCGGAGCACAGTTGAGAAAAAACTTGAGGCTGCTAAGAGTGGGCCAGACAAAGGCTATAACACCACAGGCTTACTGGAGCGAACTGTGAAGTCCTGGATGCCTGTGGGAGATGTGCCTTTCTTGGAGACGATTGGAAATCCCAATATCGTGTACCAAAGCGTGCTTCGGCAACCCGAAGGCGGACGGGTGAGTTGATTCCAGCCAGTGAGCTGTTTTGCACTTCACTCCAGAGCTAACCCGTTGATGGCAGGATGAAACTGAAGTGACGCGCTTTGTTGGGGTCCAAGAAGCATAGATGCCAGTGGATATACTGGTCGTCACCAGCGGGGAATATAGTGTCGTTACTCCATGCATTGTTTCAGACTCTTTTTCTCCTTCATTAAGAATGAAATTTAGTTAGAACCTTGGAATGGAATATGCACGGCTATGACCCATTGAGACAAGAAGCTGAATGGCAGGATTACCGCACTAGGTCTTAATGATGTAGACTGCTTGCTGGACTATATTCCGGATGCTTTTGTTTATTTATTGCATGCGAGGAATATACTAATTCAGTGGAAATATCCTACGATGGTAGATGAAATGAGTTGAGAGTAGTAATAAACTCAGGTTATAACGACCTCGCACTAAACATAACTACTATCCGACACTGTCTTTACCCGAGTATAGCACCAAGGCCCTCGTCAATTTGAGCGCTTCCAATGCATGGAAAAATGTGATCTGCATCTCACATTGGAGAAAATTATCAGTGCATCACAATATATTTAAAGAGCCAGACGCAGAAGCTTCTGTTGTACTATATATTCGCAATATGCTGCTGCCATAAGTAGATTGGAGATACCCACATAGCCGATCAACCAAATTGTCCCTGTAAGAGTCGTCATGGGTATCAAAATCATTGACCATATTCCAACCAAAGGAATATCATATATCAGGGATCTTTATCTAGGGCTTGGATAGAAGGAAAAAGAAGATTTTTTGATTTATAACATCTAAGCAAGAAGAGATCCCATTCTTGACATTTCCAATTTCACCCTGGATCATCTTTGATAATCCTTTTCCAGATGCACAGTCTACACTAATCTGCCGTCCCCGGTGCCTTACTTCCTGCTAGTCTTGCATCATGTCAACTACCCTAGCAAGCAAAGCCAAACAACCCAGACAAAGACCCTGCTAGTAAACGCAGGTACCCATGAAATCACTCTATGATGCGAACACTTCATGATTCGGGAGCAAATTCACTCAACATAGCCCCCAGAACCAGATTGGCGATGAAGTGTAGCGCGATAAATTTTTCCTCAGCCACTCGGCCTAGTTGCCCTTCCAATCCACATCGCCCCCGTCGCCCCAGATATCCAACTTCTCCAGCCTCCCCCAGATCCTCGGATCCAATGACCCAGACTCCTCTAGCCAAGGTCCAGACATCCGCATTTAGGGAAGACGTCAATGATCCCCATGTTGGTTTTAGTCTCTCGGGTGGGCCCACCAAATGAACCATGGGTCCGACGCCGGGGATTGATAGGTTGGCATGTCAATCCGTCCATCATGGGCGTGATAAAGTGGGCTCGACCGTGTTCGGGAGGGAAGTGTCATGTTGTGAACCCTTTTGTTTGGATGGAGCTCGGACTCGTGTTTCGTCTCTTGTGTCGCGGGTTCGTGTGGATGGGATACCAATCGGCTTGCTTGCCTGGTTTTAATTCTGGCTGGGCGCCTTGATATATGGGCCCACTTTGCTTTTTTTCCTTCTTCCACAATGTATCTCTCGCGCTCTCTGACTTGGCTCGCCTGGGATAGACTCCGGATTTCTGGATGAGGAAGGTGAAATAGGCTAACCTAGCTCCTAGTTTCTGTTTTTCTGGCTGTCAAATTGGGCAGGAACCGGAGGTGAAAAGAGGGGGAGGAATCTATACGAGAGTTTATACTTTTTCGCTCAGCTCCGGGGCGGCGGCGTAAATCCATTTTTGTTGGAAGAACACAGTCGAAGATGCACATACTCCAATGCCGCCAATGAAGGTAGACCAATCGCTTTTGCGGGCTCGAAGTAGCGCGCAGTCCGGTCTGGAGTGCATGTGCTCAGCATCTTATCATTGGGGGAGTGGTCAATGTGTTCCTCTCTCTCCACCGAACGCAAAGGCTCTCCTGCAAGCCGAACCCGCGGTTTAGCCATATCTGTCTTGGTGCTGTACTCTGCGGCGGGGCCGGAGCGGGCAAAGACATAGTGTCGGATGCCATCCGATGATACTAGTCAGGGGCATCGCAGGAGTTCGCTTTTCCGGACGCACCTGGGCAGGGCAAATGCGAATCCACAATATGGATTATTATCCCAGGACTTTTGATACGAGAGCTGAGGGTGGCACTAGGGATAACTTGGAAAGAAGAAAAAAGCAAAGAGGGATTTTTCGCGTAAGCTCGTTCGGTAGTTTAGCCAGCCGGCCCCCTCCCCTCCTCTGTCCATCCCGCTCGTTCCCGTTTATGTCTCGTTTTTCAGCCACAGCCGAGCTATCTCCGCCAGACAATGAGACAATGGGCTATAGATTTCGCAGCTATCGATTTTTTGGACAGGGTTTGTATGCACCTAGACCTAGACGAGACTATCTCGTTTCTAGTTTGAAACTGATAGCATGCAGGCGCTCAGGCCATGCTGTAGGTCAAGCAAATTAGATGCTCTGCTTGTCGGTATCTCATCATATCCTGGTTCAATAATTCATCGATTATACTGCTGTATCTTATGTATGTTGTCTATTCTATCCTACTGAACAGAGCAACATCTGTCAAGTATGGTCTTATCTGCTACTCGTTCCCACATGCTAATTCCTCATACAGCCGTTCTCCCTTGATGGACATATCCATGAAATCCCGCATAGGAATTTGAAGTTGCCACGACCTCTTCGTCAAACAGGTCAAGGATTACTATCATATTGGCAACGCATCGTCTCCAAACATATCTAGCATGAAATCAAGGCTCCGACACCCCGAGTGGTCAGCAAGTTCAATGACTCGTACAATGCCCAAATCTGCCCAAACCTGGTTCAGCAAGACGAGCAATGACTTCCATGAATTTTGCCACAATGACCTATCGCAGGAAAAAATCATCCTCGATCCTCAAACCAGACGCGGCTCGATGATCATCGGCTGAGAGACTACGGGACCTTTTTCTACGAAGTAGTACGTATCCTACCGCCATCCACTTGGCTCTTCCTCATACTCCAGAAGATTGATAGCTACTCAAAAGCTCCACAATTCCCGATAACGTACGCAATTTATCAAAGCACGCGGTCGGGCGTAAGGTCGTCCTCCAGGACAATTGATGTATCCCACCGATAGATCTCCTTTCGTCGTTAACTAACTATTCTTCATACGTAAAATATAGTTACTAGTCCTAGTACTGCACAGCACAGATTTCTTTTTCGAATTAAGTTTCACGTAGCACAAGATAAAATCAATACCCACCGATCGATCAATCTGATAGCAAACAACATGAATCCCCACGGTCGAGTCAGGACGTTGCATATCCATGGACGTACATACGCACAAAGTATGTATGTATATATGTCCACCTCAAGCGATCCAAGCGACCGATCCACAAAACCCACATATGTACAATCTACTCCAGTAACTAGCGATCCCCCCAAACGGGCCGATCGGCGGTACTAGTGTTTTGTTTGGTTCGATGTACGATACGATATTTAGGGCCAAGATCGCAAGGCGGCCATTGCTACGGAAAGTACGGGGTATATTGTCCCTACTGCGACTCAGTTGCGAATAGTACTGTCAAAAAGTCCCCCAGGGCTTTAACCCGGGCGATACCGGCGTTGCCTCCCTCCCCTGCGCACTCCCCTTTTGTTCAAGTTTGTACCATGATAGCACAGTGCCTGGGTGGTGGCGAGATTGCAAATCGGTCTCACGACGTTAACACAGAGTATTAAGACGGCAGGATGTGGCACGCCCGGTATACTGGATTGAGGCAAGGGCGCCTCGCCGCTTGTGTCACCGCAGCCCTTGGGAGGTGTCGAGAATGCAGATCGGGGCTGAGGCTGGTGGTTACTAGGCATGGACCGCATCGTGGAAGCGGATACGGCGATCAAAGCGCGCGAAGCTGGACTGCGTTTTGGCGCTCGGGCGTGGCTGGGATGATGGGTGAGACGGGGGGCGTTTGCTAACTTAGTTCTCGGAAATAAATGGATACTGTACGAAGCACACGCGCTGGTGGTTGACACGGCGACAGGACTCGGGTTGCTTTTCATTGGTGAGATTGAAACGGACCCTAGGATGAGTATCCATGTTGATAAATACCTTCACGTCCGGTATACATGTATGCGGCATCATCATTGACTGGAAATCTAAATACGGGGTAATTCGCTTGCAAAGTTTGAAGCGATCAGCAACACAAGTATTTCGCCGAGATTCGCCTCCCCAGAAGTGATGCCTTTTCCCTGTTCAGTACTCATTACGGATTTACATCATTCGTATTGTACGCGCAGGCAGCCAATCATCTCAGTTTACCCCGGCCAGAATCATTTCCTCGGGCCAAGCACTAGTTATCTAACGCGGCCCCGCCGTCCATGTATACACATACTTGCCTTGACGTATCCGTCGTCGGATAGAGGGCCCGAACTTCCATGCGGGTTTGAGGGAAATGAAACTTCAGACGGCGGCGCAAACTAGCCGGGGTATGAGCAGCGCTAAACATCCTGGCACGCCGTGCGGTACGCTAAAGGGGTGAGGTGGGGAGACTCGACGGGGAGGCTAGGATTGGAATAGGGGAGTGTTGAGTGTTGGGCTCTGTCCAATCCGGACCGCATACTGGCTGGACAGAACTTCAAGTTGGACTCTATCCCATGGATGGAGCTAGTTTCAGACGAGAATCGGATCGGGCCTCGGGGTTGATACCCTGGCAATTTGAACGCGGGATCTTTAGTCTTCTTAGTTCCATGTCTGGTGCTGTTTTGAGTTGTCCGGGTTGTCGGAAGGGAAGGGATTGGGTCGTGTGGTGATGTGGATGGGCTGATTGTTTTGATTTGGAGATATGCAATTGTCCTGAGAGGGAGTTGTGTTGATGCTATGCAATGAATTTGGGTGGTTAGTATGGATGTGTACACAGGGACCACCTGCACGGGCATCGGACTGCGGTGGTTGCCCTGTGCGCCGACCTGGAGCCGATGAATATGACGGCTATGTACATCCGTAGCACATGGATGTTTTCAGTGCATTTCTAGGTAGATTGGCAACCTATTGCAGTTTAAACGGTTTCAAGGAACTGGTCATGCCCTGTATTCCATAGATAATTACTAGTAT